GCAAAACTCGGGTTCACCTGAGTATCCTTCGGGGGTAGGTAGGCGTGGCTCGCGCTGATGGTGCGGCTCTGGTGGTACGGGCTGAACGGGCGGTGTGGGTGGTGCAGTGGGAACTCTCAGATGTTGTAGCTGTTGGGTGAGCTCGGACACCTGCGTCACAAGCGCTTGGACCGCCCGACCTGTGTTGGCGATGCTCTCTTCCTGTTGGTCCATTCGCGCAATGCTCCGCGAAGCGAACTCATCCCAACCACTTGCGCCTGCTGCATCCATAATGTGGTCAGATCGTTCTGTGACAGAGACTGGAGAAGGATGCAATAGCAAAACGCTTTATTAGAGTAGTAAAGTATATATATCACGGTCAGGCACACACACAGGGGAACAACACAGCTGGTACAGAGATGGTGGGTCGGACGGACTCCAGCGTAGATGGTGGGTGACGCAGGGACCTCGGTGGACAACCAGTGAAGTGCTCCCAGTCCAGTGAAGAATCTCCAGTGAGGTGCCCGGTGAATCCGTGGAAGTGCGAGGGAACTCGAAGAAAACACGACGACGACCAAGGGTAATCCACAGGAGGACGCACAGCTCAGGAACAGGAACACACCAGGAAGAACAACGATCTGACAACATGAGACACCAGTTACTGAACATATAAAGGGACAAACAGATTGAAGCCACCTGGCACTGCTGATCACCACTGATCAGTGACCACGCCCACAGACACACACACACACACACACACAACAGCACGCGAGACGAGAGAGAGACAGTGAATTCATGCACCGTGACACAAATTAGCCTAGATAGAAGGGCCTTTAAATATTGTCTTGGACAAAGGGGGGCCTTGGAGTCAAAAAAGGTTGAGGATGACTCCCACAAAATCCCACTGTAAATATTCATAATGCTCAAAGACACAAAATGCACCTTGACTACGAAACGAAAGAAAAGGAAGGTTCAAACTAAAAATACTTTTACAGCATTAATCTTGGTTAAAATTAATTTCAAGTTTTATAAATTAACATGAATGTATTATGATTTGTGAATAAACATAACTTAACATTTATATTTAGTCATTTAGCAGGCGCTTTTATCCAAAGCGACTTACAACTGAGGACTAAGCCAAGCGAGTCATTGTGAAGAGGCGGAAAAAAAAACGCAAGAAGTGCTCAAAATACAAAGTTCAGGCATTGCTCAGAGTAGCATAAGCCAGACAAGGGAGGATTTAAAGGAAAAGGAAAGATTTTTTTTAAATTATTATTCCTCTATGTTAAGTGCTCACGGAAGAGATGAGTTTTCAGTTGTCTTTTGAATGTTGTCAGGGATTCTGCATTCCGGACGAGGGTGGGGACATCATTCCATCAGCATGGAACCGTGAATGAGAATGTTCTGGAGAGTGATTTTTTTTTTGTGGCTCTCTGTGATGGTACCACGAGCCGTCGCTCATTGACCGATCGTAGGCTTCTGGTAGGGATGTAGACTCGTAGGAGCGAGCTGAGCCTGTGGTTGATCTGTAAGCAAGCGTCAATGCCTTGAACTTGATACGAGCAGCGAATGGTAGCCAGTGCACAGAGATGAACAGAGGAGTGACGTGGGCCCTTTTGGGCTCGTTGAAGACCAGACCTGGATCATTCGTAGAGGTTTAGTTGCACATGACATTAACATTACTGAACAATAGTTCATGTATAAACTAACATTAACTTAATAAAAGCTGTAAAAATAGTTGTCAAAATCAATATGACCAGAGAGTGTCTTGAGCGCTTAAAGTACTTGGGTTTGTCCTCATTTTGTAAGTTACTATGGATAAAAGTGTCTGCTAAATGAATTGTGTAATGTACATGTTTGCACAAGCTAGTTTAGACTGAGTAAATGTAAAATGTATAAATTGCAAAACAGACTAATCCCATCACTATGGTGAGAGTTAAAACGATCTTTCATTAAAATCAGGAAGTAGTGGATTAGGGGAAATGAGAATGTAATGTTTCATATGCTTTTCTGAAGGCTTGCATACTGTAAAGCAGCTGTGTGGAGGAGGAATCCTGAGAGAGAACATTTTTCATCCCATATCTTCATATATTAAATCAACACATTTTCACTGTGGCTGTGTCTTGACTTATTAGTATGAAGCGATTGGGTGGATCTCACAGGCTTTCGTCTCATGTTTGGACTTACCATTACTTCAGGGACTCTAAAATACCTTCTAGTGACACTCGGCACACAACTGACCACATTATTCCCTGCTGCCTATGCCATTATACACACAAACACACATATTGTACTGCATAATCAAGGTTGATATAGAAACCACTGCTTGCTATCTGCCTTTGTTCACATCAATGCTGTACAAAATAAATCAGCATCCTACTCTTGCAGCTTAATATATAGCCAGCCTGAGGTTGTCATGACAACTCACTGTTGAAGCTTTAGATCCTGTTGATCTCAATGTGGTTTTCTCTGAAATTGTCCTCCAGGAACAAGCATCTATCATGTCCCGTAAGGATAATGAGCTCTTGTAAAACATATGAAGACCTGTGCAATTTTAGCCTTTTTTCCACTAATAAAGGCTTTTTGTTCTATTGTACCTTGCCCTATATATATAGGCTATGTGACATCTCATCTCGCATTTTTAATAAAATTTATTCTTGCTAATTATATAAGGTAATAAAAACAGCATTTGTTTAAAATCCAAAAATTAGTATCGGATAATTACCATTTTTAAGCTAGGACTTCGCTAACATTACTTGATCACGTTTTGTTCTGCACGATAAATTAGCTACAGTATGACTCAAAGTAGATTTTGAAGCAGTGTTTTATACGATTCTAACAAGTTGTAAATAAAGACAAACCAAGGATGCCAGTTTACACGCCTGACGTCATACAACTTCTAGTCTTTATTCAGCAACTTGTTATGAAAACAAAGCAAGCAGCTTCAAAATTCATGTGGGTCAAAATGACTGGGTCATTAAAAACCTTCCTTACTTCATCTTGTAAAACTCAAGCACAGAAATACAGTGCTAATTACATCATTACTTAATGTACCAGGGAAAATATGTCAGAGCAAATAAACACATCTAGAGCACGTGGATAATCAAGGAAAGACTGCAAAACAAAGCTGCCAAGATTGTTCCCATGTTTCTCTGCTCTAAAGGGTCATCAAACGAGCTCTGCGCTGGTGGTCTGGTCTGGCTAGCGCGAATGTACTGTCAACTGAACATCAGATGTCTTGGAATATGTGATTCTAATTGGTCAATCGCGTTATTCAGAGGTCAGATATTTCCTAACAAACACCCAGAGCAACGGCTCTGCTAACGTCTAACGTACGTTAATTAATCCACGACAGTGTTCTCGTATCATCGCAGACTGGCGCTTTTTTGTTTCATTTAATTGCACCAAAACTGGCACCATCTTCAGTCTCAGGTAAATGACCTCGGAGGACTTGTTTTAAGGGATAGTTCACCTGAAATTTAATTTTTCCAATTGAAAATTGAAGCCATCTTTCACCACACGGGCCCCGGGTTTTCAAAGTGTGGGGCGCCCGCGCCCGCGCCTGGCGTCAAGTGTCAATCCATAGATTTTGCTAGATTGTAGGTAAGGTATAAATGTATCCGCGCAGTACAAAACTGCTTAAAGTCACATTTATGCAGCTTGAAGTCAGCATGAAACGGTGGTTGCAATGTTTTCTTACCTATTGTGATTTGTGACGTAGGCCTAGATCAGAGTAAAATGGCTTTTCGAACATGAAAAATTGTTGGGCGGGACATAACAGTCGGGTCCCGGAAGTAAAAACTCCATCCGTTGGGAAATATATATATATTTTTTTACGATAAATTTTAAACATTTAAAGCCAGCCTTACTCTGAGCTACTATGTTGTAATTGGTTTGATTCTATTAAAGTCGTTTACCCGCATTATTTCAACTTATTAAAATAATCATGTTTAACAACAGAATTGAATGGTCAGCCAGGAAACAAAGGTGCAGTAAACTCCTTTATGGAAGAAGAACACTGTAATGTTGTGCCAATGAGCTCTTATCAGGATCAACTAAACTCTGGGTTTTCAGAAGTATGTTAAGTTTGTGGCCTTAAAATCTAAATACATCCAAGAGTTTTACACACCGGACTATTATTGTAGGGACATCGATGTTGCATGAAAATGTAAATGCATCTAAAATCTTACCATAAATGAGGCAAAATATCTCGTTAGTTCCGCCCATTCCCATGAAGCACCGCAAATGACATAATAAAGTGGGCGGGCACTGTTGCACTCAATTGCTGAGGGAGGGGAAGTTATTTTGATTGAACATTAAGAGGGCATGTGATTAAAAAAAAAAAAATATATATATATATGTGTGTGTGTGCAGGGACAAATCATATATACTACAGTATTCCATAAAAAATAAGAATGGTCAGTTTTGATTTCATGTTGTCTAACATTAAGGGCATGTACAAATCTCATAAGTGTGAGCAAAAGCAATAATGCGTTTGTAAACACCACTACTTGGCTCCAACCTGCAATAGACCAGCCATGGCTTCCTTTTCACACAAACTGAAAACGAAAGAGCGCCCCCCATTGGTCATCTAAGAAATAAACACTGGTCAAATCAAGGCTTGTGTACAAAACATTCCTTCTTTAGCTCACTAGAAAATCTTTGCGTAAGCTTTTTGAACAGGAAAAGTTATTGTTTTTTGTTGAATGCCCACTGTGGCTACGATCAATATATACTGCTAAAGATGAGAGTAAACGCCTGTAGAACCATTGCTGCTGGAATAAAATGATTTTGTATTGAGCAGGGGAGATGCAATGCATTATCTTTCTGAAATCCCTGTTGGCCAGTGTGCTGACACATATACTGGACTCAGCAAGTCTACACACAGACGTACAGGAATGCATATCTATGGACTCCAGGCAGAACCGCTGACTTGATGTAATCTGAAACCCATCCAGGACAGCTTACTCAATCTAGCTAACAAACACATCTGGACAAATTAAGACGACATAAGCCAGACGTGTGTAAAAACATAACACTTTATACAAGTAGGCTGAAAAAAAATTCAATGAATACACAACTACTTTACAAATACAAATGCCGTCATTCCCCTCCCCCCTCCCTCCACTTCTGAGTTATTTACATGTGTTCCAGACCCAACATCAATACAAAAAGATGCATTTATGACCAAAAGCCCCGTCATTATGGTTTAGATACATAGAGGGAAAGTCTTGATTTAAGTCTGTTCATTACTGATAGCAGGCCAACGTAAACACACTAACAGCCAAGCTGAGGTCTGACTCAACTGACAAATGGTGACATTGTTCAAAACTATGCATAAGAAAAACGGAAATACTTCACAGATGTGTTTTCAACAATGACATTTCTTCCAAATGGAAGTTAGGAGGGCGATAATTTTCATAGTTGCCGGTACCATGAAACGGCTACATTGCAGGATAGTTTTTCTATCAATTTGTTGTTAAATTACATTCTCACACAGACATTTCACACACATCAAGTACACATTACTAGACAATTTTCAGGTGGTATCCATCCATGCAGCTGAACTACAGTGAAAAGAATTTGTTTTAGGGGAGTTTTCATGATACAAGCTAATATATTCAGTTCTTCTATTGGGTGGGTTCATTCGAATGGGTCACATACATCAGACTAATGGTAGTTGGCCATTTCTACATCCCAAAAGGAAGAGTTTGGTTTGCAGAGCTTCGCTAATCTTGATTATCATCATCATTAAATGCTTCAAAGTGATATTTACCGACACAAAGGGACAACACCACACCTATTGAAAAAAAATATTGGAGGGGACATATCATTTGACTGATTGAACATTATGAATAATGTTGAGACGATCTGAGTTCTTGCGTGCCAAATGAAGTGACGTCGATCCAAACGCACTTGATCCATGACCTTAATGATGTGATGACATGTTAAACACTGTATAAACAGAGCATGTAGCATGGTAGAAAAAGAACAGGGAGCATTTGACGGCTCGGTCAAATGTATGACCATCAGTTTCAGTATGAAAACAAGCCGTCGTACTGTTGTATAGTCATGCTTTACTTCTGAGGGAGGAGCCTCAGTTAATAAGCCATTAAAAAAAACAGCAAAAAGAAAAAAGATTGGCCGTAGATTGAGGGCCGTTGGCAGAGTGATGTTTGATTAGCATGAGACGTGGTTAGCTTTTACTTCAAATTGCAAAATGCTCCATCCAGACAGTCAACGGTGAGTTCCTTTTTTTTTTTTTTTTTTTTTTTACAAAGAGTCAGTTTTCCCAAAACAAATGGAAAAAAAATTCAGAGCCCTATGTTGTGCCCAGGTACTTTCTCCTCCTACAACCCTCTAGCTGCCACCGCTGGGTTTGGCGGGGGTTTTGGAGCGCATGGCGACCCCAGTGCGGGTGTTTCCTTTGCCCTGCTGGGGCTGGGGGGTGGCAGCGGCCTGCTGCGCTGGAGTCTCGGAGGCGGGGGTCGTGGCGCTCTGCTGCTGGGCGGGGCTGTGTGGTGGTGGGGTCTGGATTTGAGGCGAGACGGCTGCTGCCGTAACAACCTGCTGCTGGAGGAGCTTCTGTTGCACCACCTGCGTGGCTGTGGCCGCGGGGATGACCTGCACCTGGGCCTGTCCCGAACCTGCAGCGGGTGCCGCCTGTGTAAGGGCCACCGTCTGAGGCTGAATCTTCATACACACACACATAAAATCAATTCAGGTGTCATAATTCAATTTATCTGAAACGTCTTTACAGTAATAATACTACTGAATAAAAGTATTCATTTCTTTCAAATATAATAAATGTTTTGAACAGTAGTACATATTAAGTATATACACAATACAAAACAACAGTATCAATCAGCCAACAAGGAAAGTAATTTCAGAGGTTTTATTAAAGATGAATACAAAGACGAGAATTATTTTGTATGGAATAACATGCACAGAGAAACAGTTTAGAACAAAATCGGGAACAAACGCTATGAAATGACACAAGGTCACTTTCGACTTCAAAAACCGCATCAAATTCATTTTCAATCCATCAAAAAGAAAGTGCACAAAACACCGAAACACTTACCTGTTGAGGTGACGATACTATCTGCTGCTGAACTATTTGAGGAAGCTTAGCGACCTACAAGCAGAAGGGAAAATCACTACAAAGCTGAGCTAGCTACTAATACCACATGCACTACATCGCACTGCAACATTTACATTCCTCTCACACATGTCAGGCTTTGCTCTTGTGTAGGTGCTGGATAGGTGGTCTCTGTAAAAGCATAACTTCTTACCTGTATCTGCTGAGCTGTCGCAGGTTTCTGAGGCTGTGCGATTGAGGTGGTGAAGAACTGGGTCTTAATGCCGGGCTGCAGTTGAGTGGTGGCGGCATATGTCACTTTCTGCTGCTGTTGGGCTGTGGTTTGAGCAGCCTGCAGAGTGCCAAGTTAAACAACAGAGAAATAAAGAGGGAGAAGGGTTGAAGAGACATTTATATAAATAAAGCTTAATTAAAAGCTGATTGGTACCTTTTGCTGCACAGCAGCCTGTGTTTGCTGTGGCTGGGCTGCCTTCTGGACGGCAGCTTGTGCAGCGGCCTGCTGCTTTTGTCTGTGCAAAAGCTGCTGAACTTGCTGCACCTGGAACGGGTGGGTTACCACCTGACCACCTGCACAAACACATACATGCTTTAGTCTACAAGAGTCCCAAAAAGGTTATTGACAGGAGAGAAAAGAAAGCATGCATCCCCACTGCCAGAGTCAAGCTCGCGGTGTCATAAACGGTGCAAAGAAACGGAAGTGTGCCACTCACAATAGTTTCATTTCAAGTCTCTAGGTGATGATAAATGATTAGTTTTAGGGCGGTTCACAATAATTTTGGCTTCAAATAAACTGAGATCATCAAATGATTGATTGCTGCACAAGCAGTGCGGTTTGCATCTAATGTACCTTGTGTTCACAAATAACTCTGGGTTCACTTTTGAGACCAAATAAGTGGAATATTTGGTATAAAATAAGTGCTTTTGAAGCCATGTCTGATCAAGTCAACAGTATACTTTTATAGCATTTATTAATATTTTGATTTAGCTTTTATTTTTATTTTTTCAGATTTCATTTTAACCTTAGTTTACGTGTTAGTAATTTTGTTTCATCTTTTGTCATTTTGTGAATAAATATATAAAATATTTAGATTTATTTCAGTTTAAGTTTTAGTACTTAACACTTATTTCAGTTAGTTGCCAAGGCAACAATTCTAATTTTCTAATGGCCTGTTTACACCTGGTCGCGTTTTCTCTGATTGGATAGCTATCCGATCGTGAAAAGACCAGGTGTAAATGCCCTCCGAAACGCATGAGACGGATTTAAATCGGATCACTTAAACCACTTCAGGAGGTGGACTGAGACGCATTCCAGAAGAAAACTGGACAAGTCTAAACGCATCTGGTTGTTGAAACCACATATGTAAATCTTACTCCTCCCAAAATGTTAAAAAAATAACCGTGTGGGAGCGTGTTATAGCCAGATATGAAGGTGCAACTGCAACACGATGAGTATCTGAGTATCTCCTCAGCAAGCCGACGCTCAAACTGCCGCAAATGAAACTGAAAGGCGTCGTAGACGCTAAACAATCATCTTCATTCAAAGTAGTGAGACTAAATTATCTTACCAGTGCTGATGCTGCTCTTTCTCCTATTGCGGTCTTTGATCTTGAGATTAGCTGATGATAAATAAAATGCAGCTATGTTGCTTTCATTCACATGAACTTTGTTAAATTTGCATATAGCGCGGGAATTGAAGATCGGATTTATATTCGTTTTGCAGACACATTTATGTGGCCAAGTGTAAATGGAACATTTTTAACAAATCAGATAGCTATCCGATCAGTAAAAACAGGTGTAAACAGGGCCTACATTTTTTCAAATTTACATTTTCATCTAACATTTATATTTTATTTTATGTTAGCTTTATTTAAATTACAGAAAACATTTAATAGTTTGAGTTAACAATAACAACAGCGCTACGGCAACAAGTCTAACTGCCTAGTAGAGCTGTACGATTCTGGATAAAATTTTTGTTTCAAACAGAGATCACGATTCTCCCACGGTTTTGAACAGATAACTAAACAAAATAAAGTAATTTACTAGAGGTTCCGACAAAATGTTAATTGCTGCAATCTATTAAAAATGTTTAATTTATCTGAATAAAAAAAAAATTTAAACTGTGAATGAATGATTCAATGACTTATAAATACTTCACTTGTTTCATTACTGGATGAATCAGCAATTTTAAACGAATCTCTTGAATGATTCAATGACAAATACATTTTTAACAGTCGCTTTGTCGCCACCTGGTGGTGTAAAGATGTAATCGATGCAATCGTTATTTGAAGCGCTAAGTTACTTTCAAAAGGTGATTTGCTCTATTTTGATCGCTACCGTAGGCATCAGTGTTTTTATCCGATTCCGAACTACTAACTCATTATAATAAGAATATTTGTAACAGAAATAACAAGACTGTGTTTGAAAAGACTGCTGGTGAAGCGGTTTCATACCTATACATGATAACTGCTCTCTCTGGCTCATCACAAACGCAAAAACAGTTTTGAATGTTCCGGTGCAATTTTGTCAAAGGTTTAATAGACAATGGCGAATCGTTGTCATTTATAAACAAGATCGCATGGCTGTTTGAATCGAGATGGGGATCTTTTAACGATTAATCGTGCAGCTCTACTGACTAGTGAGTGTAACCCTTAGCAAATAATGTCATTCTCCACTTGTTTCAGAGCAAGCCTGTACCTGTTTTCTGCGTCTGTCCGATGGCAACACTAATGCCGGCCACAGTGACAGGAAGGGTCGTGACTCCGGCGGAGGAGACCACAGCAGGAACTGAGACTACAGGAGGTGGTTTGGTCAGAGTCACCTGTGGTTGACCCTGCTGAGCTTGAATGGTTCCTGGGGCTTGGACACGTGTCTGAATGAGAAGACATATATAATGACTATGCACCCAGATGTATGTGAAAGGTTTAGTCCTAGGTGTGTGTGTTTATGTGCTTACCAGTCTGGTCACCTGTAAGTTGGTGACAGTAGTTCCAGTGAGCACAGCTCCCGGTCTGGGTGCAGCGACTGCAGCTATCTGAGGGTTGCCTGTAGCCGCGGGTGTGGTGTGAACCTGCTGCGGCTGCTGAGTCGATGCAGCCTGCTGACCTTGAGCTACCGCCGCCATCTGCAGCTTCTGCTTCTTCAGCAACTCCTGGAGAGAACCAATTGTTAAAAACATGACTAAAAAGAAAGTAAACACTGCAAACAATGGTGAAAATAGTGCCCTGGTAATTATATTTTCTCCAACATAGAGCAGTTAATGCTAAAATGCCAAATATTGGTCAATATATCACAGTGTTTCCCACACATGGCGGTGCACCACAGAATACACTGGCCGCCACATATTGCCTTTCGTTATTCTTTTTTTTTTTTCTCCATTTAAAACACGCAGCGTATTCGTTCAGCTGCATTTCCTTTCCCTACTCTCCGTCACTCAAACGTCTCTCTCACATACATACATACATACATACATACATACATACACACACACACACACACACACACACACACACACACACACACACACACACAGCCCCACCCCTCCGGATCTTATCGATAATGAATATTGCGATATCGATATTAATTTCGATATTTTTAAACATATGTAAAATTACAAATGTAATGGGAAAACGCATCAAAATAGATTCATAACAAATAAAACAAGTTTTCTTACAACACAAAGTTTATTTCAACTGAAAGTCATATTGGACTGGTACAACATGAATGAATAAATAAATAATAACCATGTCTAGAACAGGACATGTTGTACAGACCAGGTGTAAATGCCCTCTGAAACGCATTCGAGACGGGTTTGAATCCGATCGCTCACACCAGTTCAGGAGGTGGTCTGACTGGACCGCATTCCAGATGAAACTGGACAAGTGTAAATGCATCTGGTTGTTGAAACCACATATGTAAATTTTACTCCTCCCAAAAACGCTAAAAAATAAACGTATGAGAGCGTGTTATAGGCTATATATAGGTTATAGGCTATATTTCATGTTATAGTCAGATATGACGACGCAACTGCAACACGCATCACCGCAGATGAGCATCTATTCATCAAGCCAACGCGCCGCAAACTATCGCAAATCAAAGTGAAAGTAAGTCGCAGACGCTTAACACACAATTATCATCATTAAAAGTAAAGAAACTAAATGATCTTACCAGGGCTGTTGCCGCTCTCTCTTATTGCGGTCTTTAATGTTGAAATTTTAGCTGATGATCAATAAAATGCAGCTCATAACTGTTGCTTTCGGTGACGTGCACTACATTAAATCTGCATATAGCGCGAGAATTGAAGATCGGATTAAATCCGTTTTGCAAAAACACATTTATGTGACCAGGTGTAAATTGAATCGTTTTGATAAATCAGATAGCTATCCGATCTGAGAAAACCCATGAAGTGGCCAAGTGGCCTGATGTCTATACCTGTGCGCTGGTGTGTGTCGAGCCGGCAAGTGTGTAAGTTATGTGTGGGGACTATGTGGTAGAGCGAGGGAGAAGTGAGAGAGTGACGGCGATTAGCTTTGGAGCGAGTAGCGACTCTAGAGTCATATCGAGTCTCCCCTGTTCTTTCTGACCACTTTGTGGAAATCTGACTGTAGCATGAAAGGTTAACCCTCTCCTTGATTTCATGTTGTTTATGGAGAAGGAGAACCAGGAAATGAGTCAAGCAGAACATGCATGATTCCTTTTTAAATAGTCTTTATGCGGTTTAATATTCACAGACACTAGTCTATATCGCAATTTTATTTAAGTTTACTGACCTACTTTTCATCCAAGATCTGACGAATTCCGTGAAATTCCGCGTTATACAGTCAATTCCGTTTTTATGCCTGGATTCCGCGATTCAGTCCGTGTTTTCCGCATCGCGTAGTTAAACTAGTAGCGACACTACTGCCCAACACTGGATATGGCAACTTCCATACTAAGAGTATGTGTACCTGCTGAGGCTTTCCCACTGCTTTGATCTGTGGAGATGTCGCCTGTGGTTGTTGTTGCTGCTGCTGATGTAACTGTTGCTGTCGGAGGAGCTGGAATTGAGCTTGAGTGAGTTGCTTACCCTGAGACAACTGCATACCTGGAGCTAGAGAAGCAAAACAAATGGTGTAAAAACACAACGATGGCAGACAGTCCAGCTAATTATGGTTATATTAAAAAACAAACAATGCGGATGTGTGACTCTCTGAATCGATTCGCCACCAGAGAACCCAAAACACGCATGGCTTCTCTAAGGATGGCATTTGGTCTACCTGGAGCCACCAGCGTGCGTGTTTGGGACTGACCCGGAGTCAGATTGGTGGACACCACAGCTGATGCGGTCACTGGGGTAACGGCTCTCACGCTCTGACCCGTCGCTATGGTAACGACCTCTGCTGGGGCAGCTGTTGTAGGCACTGTTCTCTGCTGAGTGTGAACCACCTGAGCTGTGGCCGTTCCTGCCGTCTGCGGGAGCAAATATTTAACAAATAAACAGAACAAAGTGGTACAATTGAAGAAAAACCTACACAACAAAATAATAACGAATTGAGTCAATTAATTTTAAATCAAATGTGTGCTCTATGAGGGTGGTCAGGACTCACAGACAGGGCTCCAGGTATGACTGGAGATGCCAGACGTTTATTCGCCTGGAACTGACCGGGAGGAACTCCAGCCACAGTGTTTACAATCACATTCCCACCCACTGTAGCCGTCGCTGAAGTTTAAATAGAAATATACATGAATGAGCACTCATGTCAACAGCACTCACAACTGTAGCAACAAGCACAGTTAAAAGTTGTGTAATGTGATGATACCTGGTTGGATGCTTGTGCCCACTGCAGTGGTCTTGATAGCTCCAGTCTTGAGAATCAACAAAAACAAAACAAGATCAACTTATTACACTTCAGTAATCGTATAAAACAATCTTTTGTTCAAAAGTTTGGGGTCAGTACAGTTTTTATTGTGAAGAAATGAATGCTTGAGGTTGCATTAAATTAAATTAAAACTGCAATGGAAACAGTTTTTTCGCATTTACAGGTCACCTGGTGTCCGTACAAGTCAATCATTCTTTAAGATGGCGCGGTATGTTTGGACAGAAGACGAGACAAAGTTCTATATTAAACTCATAAATAACAAAAAAAATATGGGAATACTCGATTCTAAACAACAAAGAAATGCCAAAATTGATCAAGACCTCGAAGCAGACAGGAGGGAGAAACACCTCATAACGCGGCCACTCCTAAGTATAAGGGTCTTGTCATTAATGCTTGGATAACACGCCTACGTCTCTTTTGATTAAAAATAATGCCTGCGAAAAACGTAAACCTACCAACATCCGTAACCATGATTTATCTCGAGAGGAAAAAATAAAGTTTTAGTCGCATAACATCGGTTAATGGAAACGCGGTCATTTCGCGTCGACATTTAAAAAAGTAATCGCAAAAGTCTTGTGGAAAAAAGGCTATTAATAATAATAAGAAGAAATGTGTCTTAAACATTTAGCATATTAGAATGATTTCTGAAGCCTTGGAGAGCATTAAACTTCTTTCAAAAACATCAAAAATCTTACTGACCCCAAACTTTCGAATGTTAGTGTATATATGAAAAACATAGGTGTTCTATAGAAATGGCTAAGACCTGGTATTAACATTCATCTTGTAATTTACAGCTAAATACAGGTGTATGCAAGGTCCAGTGTGAGATTTAACATGCAGTATTATAGGAGTCTAACCAGTACAGCGGTGTTGGGGACTGCTGCCGCTCCGGGTTGGTTGGGCTGAGGTACTCCGGTGGCCTGTGTGCCTGCAGCAGTGGCCTGTGGCTGGGCTTGAGTCTGTGCGGCAGCTCCCTGAGGCTGGGCGGCTCCTGTAGTCTGCTGCTGTTGTTGCTGGGCTAACTGCTGAGCCCTCTGCTGTTCGGCTAGTGCCTAGGGAGGAAAAGAAAGGAGGGTTGAAAACAAGCAACAGTTAAGAAAAATTATAAATAAAAGTTTGGGATTGGTAAGATTTTTTGTTTTGTTTTTAAACTCTCTTATGCAAAGCTACATTTATTTGATCAAAAATGTAGTGTATGTTCTGTAGTGTATATTTATTTGATGTGCAACTCAAACTGGAAAATGGATGTTTTTAAGCAGTTCTCAAACTAAATCACACCTTCTTCTCTTTTGCGATTCTCTCAGCTCTCTGTGAGGCAACCTGGATAGGAGGCAGAGGCTTGTCGTAGCTTATACCGCTGTACACACAAAGAAAGAAAAAATGAGATGCGGTTTAAACACAAATTAATATCAAATGTGACTAAATATGTACAATATATTGAAAACTGTATCTGCCAATATTGAGTTTTTTTTTTTTTAAATGATCAGTATCAGTCCAAAATGTCCAATATTAGAAGTTGATAACTTCAGGACTTATTTTGTACAAGCACAGCGACATGTCAGAGTCAATACCTCTCAGCCAGCACAGAGGCATGCTTGGGGTTCTTCTGGAATGGATTCATGCCGAGTCTAGAAACAAAAACACCCACAATTATGAAGAGGATTCTATTTTTGCTTTGACAAAATTACAATCAAATATTATAAAAAGATGTTTTTTGCATCATTCATTTTAATGTTGTTTGTTTGTTGGACACTGCCTACACATACAGTGGTTTTATGGGTGGGCTCCTCTTGCTAGCGATGATTTTCATTAGCTCAAAACGGCTGTTGTACAACTGGATCTGTGTAGCGTTGTCATCCTGTGTGTAGATCTGACATGTGCGCAGAGGACGACTGTTCTTGGACTGCGCAAGAAAGGAAGCGTTACCAAACCAAAACCAGCCAATAATACATAAAAAATTTCAATTCAATTCACATTTATTTTTTTGTATAGGGCTTTTCACAATACACATCGTTTCAAAGCAGCTTTACAGAAAATGCATCATGTGATTCCACATTACAATTTAGAGTGATCTGTTATCGGAGGTAACTGTCTAAGTTATGTATTTCAGAAATGTACATATACAAATCAGTTAGCTAAAAATTTATTAATTTAAACAATGTAATAATTTAGGGCAGAAACAATGGTCAAAATTAGAATGTAGAATGCAGTAATTAGAAGAAAAAAAAAAAGTACATTGTTTTTTAATTTTATTTTGTAATGTTTTACATACCTTATAAATGCTCTTGGTCTTGTTCTTCTTAGGGTTGGCTTCATATATTAGCTGTAGAACAATGATGTCACAAAGAAAATGTTAAAGAAAATAAATAAGAGAACTCACAACCAGGTGATACTGGTACAATCTCTCACCTTGCCCTCCTCTCTTGGAATGATGACGTTTTCGTAGCGGCTACGGCATTGCTTTGGCGAGCGGTAAATCCTGCTGCAGGAGTTGACCACATCGCTCACCAGGTCCCAGTTAGGAGTGTGAGCTGGAGACACGATGGTCAGGTTCAGAGGAAGTTCCAATAATTGCTTTACAGCCTGTGAAATAGGGGGAAAGAGAATTACAACCTCAGCTTATCCATCCAACACACAACTGTGTGGTCATAATACTTATACAATGATAATGTGATAACGTAATGGATCTAGTACCTGCAGCAGGGCCCAGTCTTCACTGATGAGCCACTCAGGGTTGTCCTGTCCAGCCTCCATGGCTGGTTTGAGCAGTGAGGGCAGCGGTTTGGCGAAGGGAGCCTGTTGCTTCAGAGAGAAGTTCTTTTTCTGATCTTTGCCTTCCCGCCTTACTTTGAGCAGACTGGCCTTGTCAAAGAGAGAGCGCGGAGGAATCACTGATTCTCCATGGCCCTTCTTTTTCTTACGCCCCAGAGCTGGCGAGAGCGGGGAGAGAGAAAGAGAGAGAATTTAGCATCTGTTTGAGCACAGTAAGTTCAGACGTCGGTAGCGTTTCTTTAGCAGTCAAACCTGATGGGTCCATGTGTCTCTTGCGCTCTTTGCGAACGTAGACCGGGGGCAGTTTGGACTCAGGCATGGGCGCAGTGTCATACATGAGGCAGATTACAGAGTCAATGTAGATATCATTATCATCCTGCGGAGGGGTTGGGGGAGTCCACAGCTACAGATTAGAGCAACAGTAAGAGTTAGAAACAATTTCCAGGCTTTCTGATTAAAAATTGGGGTGAATCTTTAAGAATTTCACACCAAAATCAAAAACAAATAAATTATATTTACCTAAAAAAATTAAAAAGACAAATCAGGCAAATTTTTTATATCCTTGGGGTTTTTGGCATATATATATATATATATATATATATATATATATATATAATTTGGGGGTAAAATGTGTTTTTGTGAGATTCACCCTAAACACTTTAAAAGTGCGCAGTCTTCAACTTACCGGCATTAATTCCGTCTGTCCATCTTCATTCTCGAACACATACTCCTGTAAAGAGGATAGGGAAAAATGTTATCGAATCTACACTACATGACATAACTTCCCACTGAAAAGCACATTAGAATATATTTGTACCATGTTGTATGCGTCCTCTCTGGTGTAGGTGAACAGATCCTCCTCATCTTCTAGGATCATTTGTTCCTCTTTCTCCACCTTCACTTTCTGTTGCTGCTGCAGCTCCCAGCCTCTTTTAGCAGCCTCTATGCGCTCCTGCAACTCACACAAACACTGACAATTAAACAATCTGTATAGAAGTATTTACAGGATGGGCATAACACATTCATTGTCATATCTAAAATCGTTTTCATACCTTTATAACCCGTTCATCCTCGCTGATGTGCAGATACTCCAGATAGTGCAGTGCGTATCTCTCAATAGGAGTCAGCTAGACAACACACCACAAACTTCAATCAATACATCACATCTCTTCCTCATTTTTTGGAATGTATTATTATGTGTGAGAAATATATAGTTTAAAAGTTTGGGGTCAGTAAGATTTTTTTTTAATGAGTACTTTTTCTATTTCAAATAAATGCTTTTCTTTTATATTCAAAATAGTTATCAAATTTTTTAACAAAAATAATAAGAATTTTTTCTTGAGCACCAAATCAGCATAGTGGAAGGATTTCTAAAGGATCATGTGCCACTGAATACTAGAGAAATGATGCTGAGAATTCAATATTGCAACAATGTTCAAGGCATTAAAACACATACAAGATCAAAGAAATGTTCAATTAACATTAATTTTCTATAACCTCACCTGCTCCATCACTGCCGCCAGCTCCTCTAACTGTGACGTCTCCTCTCTCATCCCCTCCTCCACATCAATCTCTTTCTGTCCTCCCACTTCCTCTTTATCACTTTTCACATCTCTGTTTACCTCCGTCTTTTCCTCCTCATCTTCATATTGGGTGTCCAGTCGGATGGTATTCAGGGCCAGGATGTAGGGTCTGGCCACGTGAGGGGGGATGGATTCAGAGGGGGAGGGCTCCTGGTGGAGGACCACAAACTCTTCCACTTTTTCTCCAGAGCCGGCCTCTACCTCAAAAAGATCCTGAATGGTGCGCTGTGAAAGGCCAGCACATATTCATAATGTGAGCATTATGTGGCTTGTGAGAGTCAGGTTCCCAAACCTAGTGAGCTGCCTCATTGTCTACTTCCTATATAGGTCACATCCTGACTGAAATGTAATCTCATAACTTACTAGGTTTTGAAACCATCCCTCAATGTAAAAGATTACAGTAATCACATGACCATAAAAGTGCAAGATTGGGTGTACACGAAGTAAACGGCTGTACATGTGTGTTTACCTGTGTTAAAAAGGCCAGAGTGTAGTCCATCCCCTGTGCAGCTACCTCTCGTATAAGGTCTTTAGTGCCATTCTTCAAGAGCTTCTCCTCAATGGAGTTCCCGCTCTCCAACCTGACAGAGCACAGCGTCAGTATAAAAGCTTACAAAAATAAACCTGACATGTAACTTAAATTTCATTTGTCCATCAGTCTGACCTGTAGATGTGGATGTCTTTGGAGCGACCGATCTTGTCACACCACTCCTGCGTGCGCATATCCATGCTGGGATTTAGGTCTGTGTCGTAAAACACAATTGTATCTGCGTCAAACACGTGACCCATGGCCGAGCAGCAGCGATTGGTCAGGATGGTGCAGAAGATCTGTCTGTTGCGGTTAAACCTTTTGACCTGCACCTGAAATCAAACGGGACACGAGAAACAAGATAAGTTAAGCATTGCATTTTCAATACAAGATAACCAAGATCACATAGTAGTGGGGTTGATGGTGTTTAATTGATATGCAAGCATCTTTTGAGGCTCTGTGTGGAACTAAATCAAACAGGCAGGGAAGAACCCTCAATGATATGCCCTTTCAATTATAGCCCAGAAACCACTACAGCCTCAGCGTGACCAGGACTTAGCCAGGGCAACAGAGAGCAACAGTGATTATATTACTCCAGGTATCTTACCCGTCTCTCCTCCAGTGACAGACTCTCATCCAGCCGTACGTAGGTGAGGTGATGGTGGTCTAAGAAGGCCTCCAGTAGGTCTAGCATGCTAGCCATCTGGGTGAATATCAGAACTCGTTTGTTCTCGACGCTCAGCTTCTGCAGCAGGATGGACAGCGCTTCTAGTTTTCCTGCAATTAGATACAGGAACATTATATCACATCAAAATTTTTACCATTATAACGGTTTTATTTTATACTTTTACCAAGATTGCCATGCCATATTTTTTATCTGTTTTCCCATGGCATTCTGTTATTGCGGGATTATCCAAGTTGGAAAGGAAGACACAATCTGACAGTTTACAACTGTGTAAAATAAGCTACAAAAGTGGGTCAAACTTTAAAATTTAAATCTGAAGGAAAAAGAGCTGAGGTGCTGCTGTGCACACCTGAATCCATCTCAAGCATGTGTATATCAGGGAAGCTGGTGACAGGAGGACAGGCTAAGTTCCGGATCTCTGCGTTGTGCGGAGCAGACACTTCCTGTAGCTTGCGCCTGAATGATTTTTGTGCTATACTGTAAAATGGTGGAGGATTGGACGCATACAGCTGAGGGGGAGGGGCCACAGCAGCGGGAAGTATGCAGGAGAACCTAAAATATAACAGGAAGCAGAATTAGATCACGAAAAGTTCACAAAACTGCTTTCCTGTCAAGGAGTTCATCGTCAAATCCAGACCTCTTCAACAAGATGCATGCTGCTTCCTCCTGCTCCGTGTTGGAGAGAATCGCTGAGCGGAGTGGAGCCACTGTGGACACGCATGTCTGCTGAGCCCTGATGCAACTGTCTCTGCCAACCCAGGACCAGCGGGAGTGCTGGGGAGCGGGGAAGGCCGGTGGAGGGCGTCCTTCATAAATGGAGCAGGTTTTGATTAAGTCTGAGCCATACAGCACAGAGCGCGAGGACCGCCGTTCGTTTGCATGTAATAAACTAGCCAGTCGCTCTTTCAGCTGCCTGTTTCTTTCCTCACTTGACTCCTAAAGAGACACAAAGACAAGGTTTGGTGTTCTATTCAACTATTCAATGGACCTCATTATTTCCTTTAACATGTCTTCCAAACTCACCTGTGTTGTGGCATTAGCTGAGTGTTTAGCGTTGGTTTCCGTGTCTGTGCTAGCTGGAGTGACTGTGGTTGCTTTATGGAAACAGGCAGAAAGAGAGCTGAATATCACATATTTAGGTTAGTGGTTCTCAACCAGGGGGCCGGGAACAACTAGGGGGCCTCAGCACACTTTCAAAAGGGGCACAAAATGGCTTAAAATTTGTTATTAGGGCCCGAGCACCGATGGTGAGAGGACCCTATTGTTTTTGCTCTGTTTATTATTAGGGCCCGAGCACCGATGGTGAGAGGACCCTATTGTTTTTGCTCTGTTTATTATTATTCTTCTTCTCTTAAAAGAATCGCTTTTTAGAGGGCCTAAACATGCTCAAAAACTCATGAAACTTTGCACACGCTTCAGAAGTGGTGAAAATTTACGTGTGATATGGTTTTCAAAATTGGGTGGGGCAAATTCGGTAAATTATTGCCCCCAGATTTTGCCCCGGCTCTACGTTTCACGTACAGGTATGAAATTTGGTACATACATGTAATGACCCAATACCTACAAAAAAGTCTCTTGGAGCATAGCCCTAAACACAACAGGAAGTGAGCTATTTTGAACTTCCTCCTAGATTTTGTGCATTTTTCGTAATTTCCTGATGTTGTACTTTAACGAACTCCTCATAATCAGATCTAAATCAGATCCACATAATATTTTGTCAGTCTAATCTTAAGGCCTTTGCGACGTTAAATTGCGAAGATCTAGAGTTTTCGTCGAAGGATGTGACCTCGGCGGCCTGACAAAAATGTAGATGTGCAAATCCAATTTCAGCCTCTGGGTGAAATATGCATCATCAGATAACTTCTGTGTAAATGATGCAGTTCCGATGTTGCTAGGCAACCACAGACAGCCTGCAGTAACTCAGGCATACAATGTCCGATCTGCCCCAAACTTCACATGTGTGATAAGAGTCCTGTCCTGAACACATGACCATCCTCATATTAGATTATTGTAATAGCGCCACCTGCTGGTAGCAGGAAGTGTGATAAAAATAAATGACTTTGACATAGTCCTCCGGCTTAAACATGCTCGAAAACTAATGAAACTTTGCACACACTTCAGAAGTGGTGAAAATGTACATGTGATGTGGGTTTCAGAATTGGGTGGGGCAAATTACTTTAACATATTCCCCCTATATTTACATACTGCCCACCGTGCTCTGTCTTCCTAAAGCCACCGGGTGGCGGTGGCACGGGTGCGAGGGCCCTTTCATCGCTGCTTGCAGCTTTAATTTGACTTAGATTTCGAAAATGTCTAGAACTGAAATAATAATAAATACAATAAAACCTTCATTTATAAAATTTCTATAACAAATATAATTTTGCCTAGCAACATCAAGCTCTAAAATATTTAATCAGGTAGAGTTGAAAAAAATACAAGAAAAAGTACAAAAAAGTAAAATACAGCAGTTAAGATAATACAAGATTCTAAAGACAAAAATTCTAAAACTTTTTTACCTAAAGTTCTTAAGTGAGCTTACTACATAAAATGCATTTAATCAGGTAGAAATAGTCTATTAGTGATTAAAAATAATTTTATAAAAGCTTATAAAATCACAAATAACTAGAAAGGTCATGTAAATTCATTGGGCATTAAGAGGGTAAACCCTGAAAAACAGAGCTCTTGTAAATTTTGGAATTATGTAATTATATTATTTATTTTAGTGTTTTGCCCTTTCTGGCTTTATTTTCATTTAGCACTATTTGTGGGGAGAGAGGAATGGAATCATTCAGGAAATCATTTTACTATAATTTTATGTTAAATTATAAATTGTATTTGTTATCTTTTAATTATAAAAAATAGTTTTATATATTTTAATATATCACTAGTCATAGTTGCTATAAATAACAACAAACAAACTTTGAAAACAAGTAGCTAAAAGCAGGTACTGGAACAACAAGTAGCAGAAACATTTTAACCTACATAGATGTCCTTTATAATGTCCTTTGTTGGCAAAAAGGTTGAGAACCACTGATTTAGGTGATGGTCAATATTGATATTCAGGATATTGAGAATAACAATCAGCTTTAGGATGGAGCAGTGCCTTACCTTGTGGTGTGGAGGTGGCAGGGGGTGGCGTGCCTGAGGAGTTCTGGACAGGCACAGCCTGGGGCACGGTAGGCATCACCATAGGTGGTCCCTGTGGCCTGAGAAGAGGCTGTCCGGGGGCTGACACAATCTGCAGGATGTTGCCTAATGCAGACACATACATATATAAGCGTCGCATTAGGCCAATGAACACACATAAAATCAACTGGCACAAGTGACTGAACATGGCAATGAAATGAGACAGAGAGAGGATGAACACGGGCTGGACATTACCGAGTGTACCTTGGAGCTGCAGAGGCTGGCCGGTGGTGAGCTGCCGCAGCTGACTTGGGGACAAGGTGAACTTGTTTCCCTGGAACTGCAGGGTCACAGGGGTCTCTGGCTGGGTGATGCGCCCCTGTCCAACTAACTGAGCAACCTTCACCACATCTCCACCTTCAGTAGGGAAAAATTATTAATGTTAAATTACAGTGCAAAGCAGCTGAAAATTTCTCTCTGAGAAAACAAAACAAAAAACATTTTAGTTAGTTTCAGGGTGAGGACGGAAAGAGACATGCGTGACCAGGGTGTGTTAAACGAAAGACACTTTCACAAACAAAACCTTACAAATAAAAACCTGAAACAAACAAACTGATATCAGTCTGACCTGTTTAGCAGAGTATAAAAGTGGGTGCAAATCTTTGTTTGTTTAAAAGGTTTTCCATGTAACAATAGTTACATGTGACATGGGGAGCAGCGCCCATAAGCCTGATGCTCTTTTTACCCACAGAAGGACAATAGCCGTGTTTCCACTGTCGGGCCAAAAGTGAGCATGCTAGTGCGTGCCAGGGCCAGTAGCGTTTCCACTGTCACTTCCGTGCCTTGATAGTGCCTCATCAGGGATTCCTCTAGGTCAAAGGCCAGGGGTTTTTGGCCCACCAAATACCTTGGTCCAAAGCGGGCCAACTGGGGCTTGAGGAGTGGTTATGAACAAAGGCAGAGTTTATCGGAGTCAGGAGAGGGTCAACCCCGCTGATCATTTCCCATGTTTTTATATCAAGCTACAAAAACTTTTAAGACATTGAAAATCATTTTTAGCTCTAAACTCACTTTCAGACACCAGCGAGTGTATGAAATAATTTCTGATTGCGATTCGATGGGGATTCTGATCACATTATGATGCAGACATGTATTTATATGCAATGCTAAAGGCTACTTATGCTAATCATTGCCATAATAAATACACATATAATTAAGATTAAGAACAAAGACAAATCATATGCATGTATTTATTTGGTTTCATCTCTCTGTGCCATTGTTTATACCGGACTATATATACTACATATTAGAGCCCGACCGATATATCGGCGGGCCGATATTATAGGCCGATTTTAGGCATTTTCCTAACTATCGGTATCGGCATTTATAATGGCCGATAAATGAATATTTAAAAAAATGCGGGTGCGGTGATTCATGTAAGGGTGGCGCTGCCAATAAAGCACCTAAAAGCTGTCACAAAGAACTGGCAAAAGTAATGATTATGAATACAACAAATATAGCAAGGAGACATTTTAATTGTTTATTAATAAACAAGTGTTTTCAGTCAATGTCAGCCAAAGATGAAGTTGACTATGCTGACTCGCGATCTTCAGTGAACGCGGCGCCAGAGAGAAATGCACATTTCATACGATTACATGAGTCTGTCTGTCTTTCGTTTTGAATTGTTCTGTTTAAAAGTAGACATTTCAATATAGATATATTTCAATTCTCAGGTCTATACGCTGAGTTTCGGTTCATGAGATGAGCTCCAGTTCACCCGCAGGCGCCTTCGTGTCGAGATTATCTATCGTCTGCTAAATTTACTTCTTATAAATTAAATCCAGGCAAATGGTTGATGAAACATTGATTAAAATTAAGATACAATTAATACAAAACGAAATTCACTTTGAAACGAAAGGTTTTGTGCTTTCTGTTTGATGTCTATGTGAAAGTTTCAAAGCATATTTTAGTGCCGCTTTCAGAGCGCTCACGTCCGTAGTGCTGAACTGTCGCGTCTGTAACATGGTTTTTTCCTCATAAATGCGAACACGAAAAATAAAATAAAATAAAATTAATATTTTATGTAGCCTGTGGAGACTGAGAGCCAACCCTTCTTCATCCAGTGGGTAGTAGCCTACTTGTGATTTGCGCAGTGTAATTCACAGAATTGATTTCTCTGCTCCCAGCCTCTGTCACGTATGTGAGCTTTGTGACTATTGCAAGCGCGCAGCTGAGAAGTCCTGATTATATTGTCTGCTATATTTAGGCCTACTTCTTATTTATTAAGGCAATTGGTACGATCTCCGACAGTAAACTGATTCTGCTTTGTCTAGGGTAAACTGTTGCGACGCGAGCAATAACGGCCGCGTCCGGTGTAGACACAGTGTTAAAGCTCATTCTGCCTGATAACGCTACGTTACAACATTAAGCAATATTCCAAAAATTTATATAATTATAACACTTTATATAGGGCCATTTTGCATTAAGAGTAGCCTAGTTTCACGTTTAGTACGTTTTGCTTACTAATTATTTAAAAAAATATAAAAGTACTGTACATATGTAATTAAAAGCGTTTTCATTATGATATTATTAATTTTACTTTAGTAAAAAGATCTGAGTTCTTCCTCCACTGGTAGAGATTAGAGGAATTAAGAGTAAAAATAGAAGATAATAAGGTTTTGTCAGTGACACTTTTTATATATTTATTGATATAGTTATGACTAAATTAAAAGACAAAGTCGTTAGTGAAGATTATGCAACAGTATTTAGAATAGAATATAATATAATATAACATGCAATGCAAACTAGTTTGGTTACAGCTCAGCTGGATAATTCTCATTCTATCATTCCCCCAGCCTCCATTACATATCTGTGTCACACAAGTGTTTGATTACCACATTTAAGTGATCATTGCAAAACGTGTTTATAAAATATATTTATTCTGTTTATAGCTACTGTGTAAAGTACCCATCAAAAGTTTGTACACACCAATAGGAAAGTGTCCAAACTTTTGACTGGTATACTGTACTATAATACACATAAATAATATTGCTACTGTATTATAATATACACATAAATAATATCGGCCGATATATCGATAACGGGCTTTTTTTACTCCCTAATATCGGTATCGGCATCGGCCCCCAAAAATCCATATCGGTCGGGCTCTACTACATATACTCCGGTTACTCATATAACCCCTGTTTTCTGTACGTGAGCTCCCTCTGTTGATCTAGCTGAAAGAATAACAGTATGGTGAGACAGGAGAGATGTCATTCTTACAAAAGAAATGTGACATAAACATGATATTTTATCAATATTGTATCACAAATAAACAGAAGCAGGTGCAGCTGAATAAGTATGCATTTTCTCTTTTTATGTGAGATAAACACCAGTTTGATTCAGAATGATTGATGTGCACTCTGACAGTAATTTATTAATTTGTGTCAGCTGCAACATTTTTCCTTGTAAATCATTTGTCAAATATCGAGTCTTAGGGTGTATTCACACCAGGAAAGTCCGATAGTTCACTTGCTTTGGTCCGGACCAAATAATTTTTTTTTTTTTTTTTTGGTACGGTTCGCTTTCACACTGCTCTTTTTGCAAGTGAACCAAAATTTGTAAACAAAACCACACGTGTGCTAAGGTCGTCCATTCATTGGACAAGGATTCTCAAGTAGGGAAATCAGGAAGTGCAAAAAAGGCTCAGCATGGAGATATTTTGTACTGCAATATTTGTTATTTTACTAATTTTGTGTTATTCTGTACAAACGCAATATGAAGAAAATGCGCAGAAGACGGATAAGGTATAAAGTTTTCATTCATAGAGAGGCACTATGTTCACACATTCAAATAATGAGATTCTTATTGTATATACTGCTAACAAGTGCTGTCAATGTTAACGCTTGCGATATCGTTACATTATATGAACTGCAAAAGCTTTTTTTGCATCTATGCGCGATTAGACTAAAGAGAACGCTCTGTATGTGAATGTCCTGATGCACACACTCATTCATTCATTCATTCCATTCCAATGATGCACACACGATGCGCAGAAAGACGCGCAACAGTATCGTGTGGCCAGACAGCGCGCCGGAATGGAATTCTCTTTCGCACTTGAACAACAATAACACAAACCATTATGCCAAAATCTCCGACAACGGAAGCCTTTTAACTCAAAGGCGCAGTGCTTTCCTGCAATTGGGTCGGTTCATGTTCACACCGTAAACGAACCGTACCAGAGTTCGTTTGGAACCGTACCGAGACCACCTCTTCAGCTGGGTCTCGGTTCGGTTGTTTGGTCCGCACCCGAGTTCGATTGCTGTATTCACACCTGCCCAAAAGGTCCGCACCAAGGGGGGAAACGAACTAGAGTTTGATTCAATCGAACCAAACAAGGCAGGTGTGAATACACCCTTAAAGTCTACAAGTAAAGACCAAACGTTCACTTCTGTGATGCTAATTTTGCGATCAAGCAGTAGCGCTGCGGGGCTACTGGTACGACAGTGGAAACGCAGCTTGATTGTGGCTATTGGCCCCACCCAGCTCATTTTTAGCGCACTGGCCCGACAGTGGAAAAACGGCTAATGAAATAAACGGCTCTGAAGAAAAGCTGCAGTGAAACGATAGGGAGGCAAAACCATATTAGAAAGCTTCTGGATCATCCTTCAGCTGAACTGCACAAAAAACAAAGAGATTAGTCATTAAAATGCAGAATGCAAACCAGAATAAAGGGAAGGGAACAAATATGTCAAAAAAGAAGTGAAAAACTGGAGGCAGCGGGTGCAGTCCGGAGAGAGATCTGGTGGACTCATGCTTGTTTACGAAGGGTGAGGAGAGAAACCACCGTAGGTCATCTGCTGAAGCCAAATATTTTTACACTTCAAATCAGACTGGAGATATGCCAGCAGACACGGTGCCGATTTGTTTGCAGACACCCTACGGGTTGAATTTTCACCATTAGTTTCTCTGGTGGAGGTCTGTATGAAAGCTAGCCCACTTCAGCAGAGACGTACCGTTGTCTCTGATCTTTACTCAGGTTGTTTACTGCTGTGCTTGAGGGCATGATAATAAGGAAACGTTTAAGTGCAGGTGCACAAGGGAGAGTGCAGAGGAGAGGGCCGATCTGCTGTCGGTGATGGGGAGGCCACTTACTAGGCAAGCGTGCCTGGGCCTGGGAGCTGAGCACCAGCCTCTGGGTTACCAAACTGGGCTGGAGGGGGTGGGCGGCAGGGGCGTGAGGGGTCACAGCAGGCATAGCAGTGACCCCGGTCACACCCATAGCCCCAGAGGTAGAGGGGGGGTTAGGGGTGGCTCCTGATAAGAGTGGTCCTGTTGAGCTTTTGATTGCGGAGGCTAAGGAAAAAGAGGTGGAGTTAACAATCTCAACAGACCATTCAAACCGAGTGTAATGGGGTTGGAGGATTAAAGAAAATCTGTTAACATACAATCAATGTTATATTATTTATTATACAGATTTTTGTTGAGTGGTGCGTGCCAAACGCAGAGCCACAGTTCTGGACACACTACGGATTTATCCGTGCGCATTATTTATGTTAAATACCTATGGCGTTCTAATCTTCAATAAAAAATAAGTACTTCCCCTCCCCTTGGAATGACATCTCTTCTATGATGATGTGTGCAACTCACATGAGATAACAGCAATTAACAAACAACAATGATCCAATCAATTCCCAATTGACAAATATAGAAGAAAAAAATAATACAGTAATTTCCATTTCATGCTGACTTACAGTTCAGGATAGTTCAACCGAAAATGAAATTTCTAGGGTTAGGGATTTCAGCCAAGCCTAAGAAAACATCACTTATGTTATATTAGTTTAAGTAATTAACTAACACCAAGATCAGAGATGGCAACAAATAACACATAAAAAAACATGTAAATAGAGATTCCTATGTACAAATAACTGACATGAGCATGTTTTCTCAATTTCACGAGCAAAAATACCATGAAATGATAAATATCATACCATTTCACAAAAACTTGCAGATTGTGAGTTATGGGTCTAAGTGTGGGAACACGTTTGTGTAAGAAGTTAGGGTCTTACCCTGTGCGGAAGTGGTTGTGGTAAGAGGTGATTTGCCCCTGGGTTGTGTGCTAGGCGCAGCAGTAACAGGGTTGGTAGTGGTGGTGGGGGCAGTAGTCACAGCAGTGGCACGAGGGGCTTGAGTGGTGCTGCTAGTCATGGGAACAAGACGCCCCTCTGGTTTAGTCCCATACTGCACTGGCTGGAACAACCTGAAGTTACAAACATCCAACAGTCAGCATCAATTCATCTGGGCCATTCCTGTGGTACATTGTCATCTCCCCATCATACATGTCATAATATGTTCAATAAAAACAAAAGTAATATTCACTACTATACCGCGTTGACTGTTTACCATGAAAAAAATACCAATGTATTAAGAAATATACCCATTATATTTAACAAGAACCAGTTCCATAATTACATCATTCTAGGAAGTGAAATGATTTTTGGTGTGAAAACAATAGCACCAAAATCAGAATTAACACTGTATTGTGATATTATTAGGTTTGTCTCATTTACAAACATTATGCCCTGTTATCACTGTAGGGGAATTTACAGCTAACCACAGTCAAGTTTCATCATGCTTGTTTACTAGGGGTGTAACGGTACACAAAAATCACGGTTCGGTACGTACCTCGGTTTTAAAGTCACGGTTCGGTACGTTTTCGATACAGCAAAAAGAAAGAAATGCCAGAGAAATTTCTTATTTGTTAAAAGAAAAAAATATTTTTAAATAACTGAGTTTTCCTATATCTTGAAACTTTCAGGTTTATAAATGGGGGTCATCTTTGAAGGATGAACAAATAATGTTTTGGTCATCACATTAAAAATAACATTTAAATATATATATATATTTATTTATATATTATTTGAGTTTTGAAGAGCTGGAAAAAGATGTGTGAAGTACTTGAAAGCAGTTCACTATTCCAGCCAAACTGGTTACAGTTAGTGTTAGCCTACTATATTAAATCCATGGTGAATGTTGCTGGTCTGTGGACGTAAAGTATTACTAGTTCATTCACGGCACAATGTTTCTCCTGGTTTCCACGTCAGCGCTGTTTGATCTAATAGAGATCTACGGTTAATAACGGAGAAATGTGAATCCTTCTCACTAGATCTCGCAGTGCTGTTATTACTTCAGTGGCGAATTCAAATGTTTTCTTCACTGGATCTCTTAGCGCTGTGTTGTAACAGTGTCGCTTGATCGAGATCGGCTCGCGCTGCACAGATGTTGCTGGTCAAACGATCTGTGAAGCACAATATAATGAGTAGCGCAGTTTCGTTCCGCTTTCATTACGTTTGCCATTTGATGTTGCGCAACGTTGTGGTGATCGCGCCAGCGCCAATTTTGTCGGCAGGAAAAATGGTCCATGGAATCGTTCGGTTTGTATGCTTACCGAACCGGAAGCCTCGAACCGAAACGGTTCAATAAGAATACATGTACCGTTACACCCCTATTGTTTACATTACAGAATTCATCATAGAATTCATTATGATATGAGAGTGGTGGGTCTTTAAGAATGGACACCTCATAGGTTTGATCTTGCATGGTCTGGGTCGTGCTGGTGGGTCACGTGCACTGTAGATCTCTTCGATCAGCTGTTTGGTCATTCTGAGTTTTGGCAGAGTCTCCTCTGCCTCATAACGAGTCAACTTGCCCTCGTTACTAATCAGGTCAAACGGTGACATATCTACAGTCTGGAACAGAAAGTGGCCTATTAGTCAACAAACATCTTCTATCTTGCACATGTGTTTATTTCTCTTGCTTACTTTCCACTGGTCCTGCTTCAGTGCGGTGAGCAGTAATGATGGGGTGTTGTACTGAAGTGGCTGACATATGTAAGAGTTATGTGTGTCTCTGGGTTGGATCAGGTCTGGATGGTTGCAGATCTTCTGCAGCTGCATAAGAACTTCCAGGACTCTGACAAAATGTCCTGTCTTTAGAGCCTCCTGTGCACTAGAGGGCAGTAGAAAAACAGAGAACCACTCAAAATGGATGACTTGGAGATGAGCTGGTTAAGGTGTGTTTGGCTGAGTGTGTAATGTACTGACCTGGGCTGGATAAGGATGTCCTCGTACATGCTCTTTTGCCTCTTAGACAGACGGCACTTGAGAATGTGCTCGTACTTCTTGGGCATTTGCTTCTCTACATCTCTCTTGGAACGACGCAGGATGAAGGGCTGAATCATCTACAGCAGAAAGGAAGAAAACAAAATTATGACCGTGGTGCTCATGAAAGGTTGTTAACCAAAGGCACAACGTCCTGTGTTAAGTCACCAGAAACAACTTCCATCAGGCCTCACCCTGTGCAGTCTGATGACCAGTTTGTGGCAGTAGTCCTGGTTCTGATCGGTGCCAGGTTTGATGGGGAAGCTGAGGTATGGGTGAGTGATTCCAGGCAGGAGGAAGTGGATCATGGTCCATAACTCTTTTAGAGTGTTCTGCAGAGGTGTGTTGATTAAGAGGATCCTCTGCTGACTGTTAAGACAAAAAACAAAAAAATCATAATTTATAAATAAAAAATTCTAACTTTTACAATACATCTTAAATAGTAAGAATGCACCGATATTAAGATGCAAATAAGCATCTCATTATTTTTTTATGTTAAGGCTGATAACGGATACATGGATGATATTACATTTCTATACAATTTTGCCTAAAATAAAATAATAAAAACTATTTCAGTCTATTTTTTTAAGTTTAAGTTTTAGCTTTATTTCAACAATTGAAAATATTTTTTGACGGTATTAGTATTAGTTATAGTAACAATTACAGTAACAGCAGCAGTTAAAATCTACCAAATGTACTGTAAATATTTTCTCAAATGTAAAAAATCTCAAAAACATGACACCAATAGATAGCAAATGGAAAATTGTTCCAGTGTTTTGGCTAACCTCTTTATGTTGAAGATGGTCTCCCAGTGTTTCTCAGTCATATTCTTAATGAGCTGCACCTCGTCCAGCACCAGGTGCCTCCATCGCCTCCTCATAAAGTGAGACTGATCTTTCAGCAGAAGCTTGTATGATGTCACACACACGTGGAAGCTGTTGGGCTCACACCACCTCTGCACACATTAGACGACAGTGGGAAAGTGAGAACAGACAACAGGAAAAAAGGTGCCCACTTAATAACCAAGAATTTAAATGACCTACCAACTCATTTGAAAACTATTTTCGGGAGTTATCTAATGCAAAAAAAATGCTGACAACAGGGCTGGATTTATGGCAAGTCTGGTATGTGAAAGTACATGGTTCATACCAATCTCTTGTATCTGCGCTGCCTTCGGCTGCCGAGGTACAGGAGTATCTTCAGTCCAGGACACCAGCGTTTGAACTCCATTTCCCAGTTCAGCAGCTTACAGGTCCTCACCACCACCAAATGAGGCCCCCAGATACCTGCAACACCCACATGACACCAGAATGTGTGAATTCACAAACAAAACAAATTCACAAACAAAAATTCTGACACCTTAAGAAAACATTTGTATTGCTATAAATGTGCTAGAAGTGGCTGGTGCTGGTACCCTGGTTGCAGGCCAAGTGAGCGAAGTAAGCCACAGTCTGTACAGTTTTGCCGAGGCCGGTTTCATCTGCCAGGATGCCGTTGAGGTTTTTGCGGTAGAGGTTTGCCAGCCACTCCACCCCGACCTGCTGGTACTCTCTCAGAGAGCCGTGCAGCAGAGCAGGAGGAGAGGAACGACTCTGAGATGAAAAGGGATAATGAGTCATCAGACAATCAAACAGAGAGCCCACTTTGAATTAAACAACCACTCAATTGAATATTTGATCTTCCTGTTTAAATCAGTCCCTGTGAGTAACAGCTTAAGTGACTCACAGTTAGAGTGGTCCTGGCGCTGCCTTTGGGCAGAATCAGGTCTGTTGCTGCAGCAACCTCAGCGATATCCTTTGTGGGCTTCCCATCAGAGCCAGAAGCCATCCGCTCAGCCCCACGGTACTGATCCATACTCAGCAAAGAGTCTATTAGCACTGCATCATGTGGACTGTTCAATGGAGAATTCATGTCTGAACAGAGAACAGCATTAAAAAAAAACTGCAACATCAAATCAATACACTGTCAAAAGTACTGATTTATTTGAATATTTTTGTATTTCAGGGCTTCTATTGAGAATGTATGAACAATTGCTTTAGTTCTTAAGACAAACCATCAGCTTCCTCTCTGTCTTCATCCTCGCTCTGGATGGAAGGCTGCGGCCACTCAAAGCCCTCAGCGTAAGCACCAGCGTACTGCTTCACCAGATCATCCAATGGCACTTCAGCTACAAGACACAGACACATAGTTTAGAGTTCTCAACGGGTCGGGTCGGCCCGACAAACCCGACGGGACCCGCGGGTTCGGGTCGAAAATATTTACAAATGACTCGGTCGGGTCTCGGGCTTAATATTTTGTATTGTACAGTGAAAATTTTTTTTTTTTTTATTCATCGCTGCTGTTCACTGTAAAGAAAGTCTGGCTGCTGCGTGCAATGTGCATCGCGACGCGAGGGCAGACCTGACGCCGCTGCGTGCACGCCTTTAGCCCGGAGAAGAAGATGGAGTTGGTGAAAAGTAAACTTGCCGCAGGTGAAATCACCGTCGCTCAGGGGCGGCGCCAGATAATTTTTAACGCAGGTGCTGAGGGGGTGCTAGATCATTGACAGGGGGAGCTGCGCAATTATATATATATTATATTATATATATATATATATATATATATATATATATATATATACACACACACTATTATTTAAATGAGCAAAATTTATGATGAGATGTGCTCCAGTTCACGTGCAATGCAATCGCGCCCGCGCCTCCTATATCATGATCATTATTGTCTGCAATATTTGCTTCTTATTTATCATATCCAGGCAATTAGTTGATGAAAAATTTATTGAAATTAAGATACAATTTATACAAAACGAAATTCACTTTAAAGAAAGGCTTTCTACAAAACAAAACTTAATTTAGTGGTCAAAATCATGTCTGACCCATCATATCTTCCGATATATTGCGCATCTTACTCATGCTGTTCAATTTTCATAATCAGCATAGATGTAAAAGAAACAACAACATTATAATATTTTAACAAAAATGAAACTAAATGTGCTTATTTAATGGCAACAACACATATAGTGGGCCTATATACAGACTATCTAAATATTGAAATTAACATTAACAATGCTGTAGAAGTGCAGTTTATTAATAGTAAATGTTAACTAATCTAATTAAGTGTTACCGATTTTTTTATACACCGATTCAAAGGTCTCGTGAGTTCAGTGTTGAGTTAAAGTGAATGGTTAAAATGAGTCATTCGTTTGCGTATCGGACGTCTAGCCACGGCACACGCTGTGTGATTATCTCGGCAGTTTAGGACATCGCACAAGATTTGCCTCAATACAGAAAACATTTAATCACTGGATAGGTTTTTTCGTTTATTGAAATGTGGTTTATGTCAGCTGGATGGGCGGAACGTGGGGGACGTGAGAGTGCGCGCGCGGCCGGGGCTCTCTCTCTGCGTCAAGCGCAGCAGTCATTCTATTCTACATCACTCACCGATCAAAAGGGTGGCGTCGGGCCGCAGGCCGGGTTCGGGCAGATAATTCATGTTGATGTGTCGGGTTACATCGGGTCCGGGCTTTAAAAGCCACGGGCCGGGTCGGGTCGGGTTGTAATTTTCAGGCCCGTTGAGAACTCTAACAAAGTTTATAGCAGTGTAGGGCCCTTTGATTTTCGCGATGCGGAAAACACGGACGGAATCCCAAAATCCAGTCATAAAATCGGAATTTACTGTATAACGCGGAATTTGTCAAATCATAGATGAATAAATCAAAAGTAGGTCAGTACACTTAACTCGAATTGCGATATAGACTAGTGTCTGTGAATATTAAACGACAAAGACCATTTAAATATGAATCCTGCATGTTCTGGTTTAATTTACCACACACACACACACACACTGAAGCACGCGTGATGCTCGCAGTAGAGGGCTGCATTGGGATTGAGTCCCGCCGGGTCCCGCGGGACCCAACGCAAATCTCGCGGGAGCGGGCGGTTTGAACTTTGCTGCGGGCGGGAATGGGCGGACAAAAAAAACCCTGCGGGATTGGGAGGTTACCTAACGACATGATGGAGATGTCAATGATGTGGAAAAGAACCTTAAACGAGGTATTTACAGCACAAAACCTGAGCAAGCCAAGTCTGACATTTACTATTCATCTTCCTGATCAGTGCGTCAGAATACATGCAGGCCAGGGAAACGAAACCAACAACCCCATGAATCTCTTTAATAATAGCAATACAAATACGCGTTTTTTTTTTCCTGCGGGACGGGAGAAGACACAAAGTCAATGCATCTCTATTATTGTGCGGGAATAAATTCTCCGAGTTTTGTGGGTGCGGGCGGGAGTGGACATACATATTGCGGGAGCGGGCGGGAGTGTAACACATACGTTGCGGGAGCGGGCGGTAATGGTCAGAAATTCGGCGGGCGCGGGCGGGAGCGGGATGAAGAAAACAGTCCCGCGCAGGACTCTAGCTCGCAGTGTTTTCAGCCTCTGCCGCCTCACTATATGAGGACATGAATGCATGAACTTCTCCAGAGCCGCTCTGAGAGTCACTTCACAAGCATTTTACAGTTTCATTTGAGAAAAACTATTGCATATCAAACACAGAAACTCAAAGGTCTGTTTGAAAGTTCGGTTTAACCTGCAGAAATTATGACGAATATATGCTGTTGTACAGTAGAATTTAGCTATGTCTTTTTTCCATTCAAAGACATGACCAAACGTCTGAGATGTAAAACTTGCCTTCTTTTGTTAGATCGGCCAGCTCGGCTTTCTGATCAGCCGTGCCCTCCGTAGCCTCCTGCTCTTCTATTGTACTTTCCTCATCTTCAACTGCAAAAGAACAACAGAGCATTCAGCAGAGTGCACACAGATGCGCACACAGAAGCTAACCATGTAGAAATGCAGTATGTACCCTCTACATCTGACAGCGAGGTGCTTGACTTTCTCTTGCGGGATGGGCCAGTCTCCTGCTAAAAGGAGAAAAAAAAAGAGGTTTGAAGATTGTTGTGGACAATGAGAGGATGAGTTAAGCAGCAATGAGGAAGGATCTTTGAGAACTCATGGAGAAGACCTTACCCCTTTACTCTCTTTATCGGATTTCTCTCCGGATGACTGGGCCGGTTTAGCACAATGACCTGTAACAATACATCGTCCCTTCTGAATTAATAAACTCTGACAAACAGTTAAGACAGGTCAGATATAATCATTACTTAATCTCACCTTTACTTGCAGCCTTCTGCAGGCCGAGAACTTTTTGCTGTTTGTCATAGATCTCAAAACGCAGCTTGATTTCCACAACCTGTGGTAAGAGGGAAAGAAATCAATTATTCACGTTTTTACATTTCACTCACTGCACTTCTTATCCATTGTTTTTCAATGTAAATATGCACTAGACGGAAGTGTTTGACCATTGTGCTCGGGTCTCATGTCTTTTGCAGCGTCTCGTCCATGACATAGCGTCCCAAAAAACGCAGCGCCCAAATACGAAAAAAACCTCAACTTTTAAAAAATGCTTCTCTAGACGTTGCAGGGTTTTTCCCCACTGACCTGAGCCTCGGTTTTTTTTCTTTTTACCACAAAGCGCATTCTGTGTGAATGGCCCCTTAGAAATGTTATGAAAAATTAGAAATGTTGCCCTGGCAACTTACTGAAAAAAGATTTCTTTAAGTTAAAGTACTAACATTACTAAAACTAAAATAAAAAAAAATCAAATCTTAATTAAAATGTTTTTTAAAAACTAATAAAAAAAAAAATCACAAAATAAAAAAAATTAAATAAAAAAAATATAGAAATAAAATCTCATTCAAAATAATAAATACTATAATAGTATATAAATAATAAAATAACCAAAATAATACTGGTATCAATAATAAGTAAATGTACCTGTTCGATGTTGGACCAGAAGTAGTCAACCCCACGGGCGATGGTGCTGGCAATGTGCCGCAGCCTCATCTCCTCCTCTCTCTTCTCGCGTTCCTCCATCTTCTTCTGTTCGTCATGGTAACGTGAACATGTGCGAACAAGCTACAGACAGAGATGATATTGAACTCAAAATCAAAGCAGAATTTTAGCCAGCTCTATAACGAATTGTCACTGTCACTATTACTTGTGGCCGAATGGATTGAGGTGTTAACTATGCTAGGAGTCACCGAGCAATCGGCTCAATTAATACTGTCTGAGACATTGCTAATATCAGAGACTGAGTGCGAGTCTTCTCACCTTCTTGGCAGCAGCAATCTTCCAGCGCCTTTCCTGGGCAAAGTCAGCCGCCATCCACTGCATCTCCTCCAGGAGGTAGTCCCAGTGGGATTTGGGCCTGCAGGCCTCCTGCAGCTTGGGTAAGCGGCTAGCTGACCACTGGCCCTCTTTACGGAGCTCTGAAATGCGCTGGTGCACGTGACTCTCCTACAATGCAATGTGACAATCTTGTCTGAGATATACTACAAAGTTACCTATTTTAGCTGATATTAACATATACCTAACATATTAACGATCATATTGTAATTGTTCTCACCAACTTGGCTTGTTCTGCTTGCTTGTCCTGAGAGCTTTCCTGTGAGTTCTGCCCGACCGGATTCTGACCCAGCCCAGACATTTTGAGCCCGGTGGTGCCATTCGTGGAAGCGAGTTTGGACTGGGCAACAGAGGAGAGGCTGGGGCCAGTACAGGGGGTGCGGACCGGGACAGAAGGGTGCGGGGAGGGTAGAGAGGACGGGGATGTGAGAGGAGCAGGAGACATGGCAGCGTTGGAGAGAGAGTTAGACATCAAACGCTGGGCAGGCTGGGAGGAATCTGATCCCGGACGAACAAGCGTCACAGTCTGAAAAAAAAGAGAAGATGAACTGTAAAACTGTCTGCTGTTGTAATAGGGCTCTGCAATATATATTGAATATTCATGATATATTCATAATGGTTTTGCTGACGATATGAAATTGTGAACATTGTGATGATTTTATACCACTTTTTAGTTTCCAAAAGTGTCAAACAAATTTCAAGATTTTTTTTTTTTGACAGTCCAAAAGCTAAAGAGCCAAATCACAAACATGCCCATCATAACACACTTTTATTACCATCACAGTAAGCAGAACAAGCTTTTTCAAACATGGAAGACATACTTCTCAATGTGGTTAGTGAGGTTTTCTTGGCGCAGTTTATTTTAAGCATACTCACTGCCTGTCCAGGCTGCATGACCGACTGCTGCATCTGCTGTTGCATCTGGAGGTGGAGTCCTGACTGCATCTGCTGAAGCTGTGCCTGCAGCTGTGCATGTGGGTTAACTGGAGCCAGCACGGCCCCAGTACCCTGAACCTTCACCTGGAGCTGACCTCCAGACATCGGAGCCTGCTGGTCCACCAACATGGCCTGACCCTGGGACAGGGAGAGAGGCAGACCCGCCATGGGGATCCCACCCTGGGGTAGGCGGCCTGGAAGCTGCGGGGGTGGCGTGTGAAGGCTGGCGGCGTTCTGGACCGGGGGACCTTTGGATGGGTCATACTGCTGCTGGTTCTGTTTCTGCCCACCAATCTGGACTGTTTGTGGGGTGGGGGGCATGCCTCCTGTTTCACGGGGCAAGATGAAGGAAACAGAGTAGAGAGAGGAAAGAGAGGAGACAGATAGAGGGATATGGGGGGCAAGAAAGAATTCCAAAGGGAAAAAATGAAGAATTTGATACCATATTTTGTCTTGTCTGTTTACCTGAAAGGCCCACATTTTTAAAGTGACACTTTATATCCTAACAAATTTCTTCTTGCTTTTAGATAAAGTGAAAGACCATGTCTGAGTCATATTTCACCCCCAAATTCTACTTTGCTTGAAAAAATACAAAGATTAGTATTTGAATTGACATTATTTTTGACAATTAAAACATTTCAACTCCATTTCTCATTACCTTAATGTTAGATTTTATTTCAATTGTATTATATTCGTGGCATTTAATCATAATTTATATAATGACTATGTAACATTTTAAAATCTTTACACATTTTTTTGTTGATGTAAAAATGTTAAACAGCCTGTAATTAAATATATATATAGCTTGTTTTTTGTTTTTAATTACATAATTATTACAAATATTTAAATCAAGTACCATATAGTACATTAAGATGTCTAATTGTCATGAAAATAATGCCACAATACTTAAAAGCTTCATGGTTCTAAAAATCTATTTTGATTGTGGAGTGCAATAGAACGCAGACATTTTACCCGTTTATGTTTCAACCAAACTTTTGATTTTATGGGTATGATGTTATGAGTAACCAGCAATGTGTTACACAATGCTGAAGAAAAGGGATCATTAATGAAAAATACAGATCATGTTACAATGACTAAATAACAAAACTCAAGGTAGATTTATATGTTCTAATAATGGAAAATTAGAACTCGTAAATGTGAAAATTAAAATATTTCATTCAATGCTTAAGAATACTACTATGAAGAACAAAACTAATCATGCATTACCACTGATCTATCCATAAGTGGAAAAGTCTAGATATTAAAAGAAACAAAGATCAAGAAAACAAAATAAAACAAAATAAAAAATAAAAAAACAGGAGAAGAACTCAAAAGAAGGAAAGGAAATGGACACGACTGAAGCACTGACACATTTCATGGACATGCATGAAGCAGGTAATGTCTGAAACATCTGCGTTAATACACGTGCTAAATAACAGCAAAGCAGAGGGTATAGCAGAGGAATGACGAGGGAAGTTTAGCACACAAGAAGGTAAAGCCCAGCTGTAAACACAAAGTATCTCCCTCTTTTAGCATTTCATCATGAGCAAAATTACCAACTACAGAATTATTTTCAACTCCGGAGCTTTCTGAGGTTAATTTGCTTGTTTATAAGACCTTTCCTGACCGCCACTATCAGCTCCTCACCATCAGGTCATGAGGGAATTTTATGGAAACCGAAGATGAGGGTGGGAACTGAAAATATGATGACGATAAAACAAGGAGAAATGAAAATAACTTGCTAGATGAAGGGAACCAAGATTGAAAATGCATTGATATTCCAATTTGAGTTTAGGGAAGTGAAGGAGGATCTTTGTAGGATCAGGAGAGGAGATGTCAACTATAAAACCGCAGAACTAAACGGAAAACAAACACGGTGTGAAAGAGGACATCCCAGTAGAGAGGACAGTTTGGGGCTCATCATTTGATGAACCATGGATGGAATCAGAGATGCCATGATGGCGAAGAAGAACGTACACAAATGAGGTGAATGGCTCAAGGAACTAATGAGCAAATCATAAATGAAAAAAAGTGATGTCTTCCAAATTGATCTTCAGCTGTATCTTCTGCTCAGCTGTCCCTTTGATGGTTAGCAAAAGATTTTGAGATGAGAACTGAGACTGAATTGAGTCCCAACAAGTGGATCACAACTGGTAGATGATGCTTGGAAAAAAGGTGGGATCAACTTTGGGAACTCTGGAATGAACTCTGACCTCCAGCAGCATTGAATAACGGACACAAGAGCGGACCTGGCCCGAGACGCAGCGGCGCTCCTACCTTGCGCTGTCGGCATGAGCTGCTGGAGGGGAACGCCGGGAGATCCTAAAGCAGTTACGGCGGGGTGTTGGAATATCATCCCATGCCGACCCACTTCCATCCGGGACCTCTTAGCCTGATCTGGGATGCAAAACACACAATACCCTCAAAACGCAAAAGACCTCCCTCCCAAAAAAATGAGATATAGAACAAGAAAACAAAAAGAAGGAAAAAAAAAAAAAAAAAAAAAAACACTTGGCACATGGCAATGATGTTTGCACACCAGCAGGTAGCTGTTGGGAAGCTCCGTTCCCTGTTTTCTGGATTACAGGGTTTAAACACAGAGCTGGGAAAAGATGCTGGAATACTGAGTAAGCAGAAGCAAATTGGAAGGGGAGAAAAGGAAACTAACAACAGCAAACGGAAAGGCAGAAAACAAAAAGGGGGATAAAGAACAAAGAAAACAAAAGAAAACTGGCCTCCACCTTTGCCCTGCGTCAACGTCGCCCTACCTGCTTGTGCCATGGCCTGCTGCCGTTTGAAAGCCTCCATGTCCAGGGGGTTAGAGAGGCTGCCACCTGCCACCCCGACATGAGTCTGTGAGATGGAAAACAAACCAAAGTGAGTCTCATTCACACGGAGCAAAAACAGTTCTGTTAACCTTAACTAAAATCTTGCCTACTTATGTCTAATGTCACAATTCTCTCAAACCACATAATAAAAGCCCTGTCATACAGAGTGTTACAAATGTTTGAAATGTTCTGAATGAATCCTCCTTCACATTTCCAGTAAGGAAGCCTCCATCACCTGGAACTGCTGCTGAACGGAGAACGCTGCAGACACGTTGGGTGGGAGTTGTGTAGCTATAGCAACAGGAGTCACCGTCTGTCCATCCTTTCCAGTCACTACTTTCACCTGAGAGGTTGCCATAGAAACAGATGAAAGATACAAAGCCACAGAAAATACATCTTGATGTCTGCTAAATAAATCGAGACCAGTTCTCTACAAAGAAAAGTTGTTTCATGGGTCAGAGACATGATGATCATTTTTATCATCTGGATCTATTAATTATTTCAACATTTATTTTGATATTATTGGGGGAGATAAAGTAAAAATGTCAGAGTGATACAGCTTTCTTGATATCAAAATGAAGAGAGAAACCATCCTTTAAGGAATACAATTCTTTAAAAGGATTTTTTTTTTGTAGTTTGAGTAGTTTTCTTAACAAAACACTGACTGCATCATTGGATATTAATATTTGGGAGAAAATAACAAATCTACCAAATCATGTCATGTGATTTGACCAAGAAAAGCTTATGGTGTAAACATGCAGAAACAAAAAACAGGGAATTATATCATAGAGAGGACACCTGAAGAGCTCTGTGACTGTCTCTTATGTCAATAATCTGCTTAAAATATCAGAAATTTGACCTTGTTATGACGGTGAAAAGGCTGTAAAATGTCATGTGTTGCGAATCCCACAAATTTCACAATATTACTGTATTTTTGATCAAATAAATACAGCCTGGCTGAGCATAAGAGACTTCTTTTCAAAACATTTTTTTTACTGACCCCAAACATTTGAAATGTAGTGTATGTTTTCTTACTTAAAAATACACACTTTAAAACTGTTTTTAAAATAAAGAGTATGTGTACACTACACACTCACATGTATTCTTTTTTTACTTGATGGTTACACCACATGATGGTTACACCACATGATGCCTTTTAAACCCCATTACATTTAAACGTTTCTTACAAACAGTATAAAAGTTTTTCAAAATGTTTTATAAAATACTTTTTGGACACAATAAAAGGTTTATTGTGGACACTTATCACTGAGAAATTACACAAAGTGCATTTGAAAACAGAATGTAAGAGCCCAATGCATTCTTTTACCTCATCATTAATGACCTCGGACTGCTCTTCCTCCTCCTCTTCATCTTCAAGGTCAAGATCGTTTTGCCTCAGGTAGGTGAAGAGAGGCACACAAGGCTTTTTCTTGAAGGCAATGTAGTCCATCATGTTCCCTTGCAGATGCTGCAGGAAAAAGAGCTCAATCAGGTACTCCTTAAACACCTCCTTCAGACTCTCCATTTTCTTCCCATGATGCTCCAGACACTGCTTCCTCAACTGTGCCACCTCTGGGTTTGAGGGCGCAATCTCTTCCAGCTTCTTCGGCTGCATCTTCTTCATGCTGGTGGGGGTCATGGACTGGCTGGCAAGGCCCTGGGGAGGGTTGCTCCTGGATGGGCTGGAGGGAGGGATGGCGGATGGGACCCCGAAAGAGGGCGCCGCAGATGCTCCCACAACGCCTTGCGCAGTCTTCTCAAAAATCATGGGTCGTGCTAACTGGCCTTGGATGATGCTACTGATCTGAGGAGGCAGATTGGAGGTGGTGATATGCCCAGGGCTGCCTAACGTCGGGAGAGCAGCCCCTGCCGCAACCGGGCTCTGCGGGCCCAAATGGTGTATAGTGCCCCCGGTTTGAGAGTGTGGCTGGGACAGGCGTCTTTCTCTGATGGCCCCCGGAGTCCCAGGTGAGGTCAGCTGAACGGCTCCTGCTGTAGTCGGAGTCAGCTGAGCCAATCCTGCTCCATCCTGGTACACAAAATGGGCTGGTGGGCTGCCCAAGTTGAGCTGCCTAACCATAATACCTGCATCCACAAACCGCGTCGGGCTTTGACCGCACACTCCCAGGGCCGACCCAGGAGCATTCGGCCTGGGCACAGCCTGTATGGGGACCGGACTGTGCTGGGTGGGACTTTGAGGCTGTAGGGATTGGGACAAGGGTGATGTCACCTGGATGTAAGACGAAGAGCCAGGCTCGAACCTCCACTGCTGGGGCTGATGCTGAAAGCCAGGGGACGCCGGGCTCTGGAGAGGCAGGGAGGCGAGGGTGATCTGCTGGTTCCCTGGAACCATTGGTCCCACGTTCTGTAAAGTGATGTTCATGTTCTGACCTGTGACCGGACTCCGACTCATGATGATTTGATAATTGGGAGACTGTGGCGCAGAGGGACTTGCAGATGGAGCAAAAGATGTCACCGGTGACTGGGGGTGATTGGCTGGCTGTTGCTGGGTAACCGGCATGGGCTGCTGCTGCTGTTGTTGGGACTGCTGTGGTGTCTGCTGTTCTTCTGCCTCAGATCCAGTGAAGGACTTTGTTCTCTGAAGGTTCCTCTGCACATTTGGTGGGCCTCCTCCATGGTGCATTTCGTGCCACTTTTATTGTATTAAAAGACACTCTGTGGGGAGACAACAGTGCAACGTTTCTATCATGCATATATTTGGGCAGAGATATAGAAATTAATGAATACTGAACCTCAAGGGAAACAGTCGATAATAATTTGTAGTTCAAACAGACCCAGGCCCATTAAAGGGACAGTTTTAAAATTTAAATTCTGTCAACAACATTTACTCACCTTTATGTCATTTCAAACCCTTATTTTACACATAAATAACAGTATGAATATATTTGGACTGAAATCAAAACTTTGATACTCTAAAAAGTCCAATTATTTTAAACATATGCTTCAACATGCTTACTTGACACGCGAGAACCAATGTGCTCTATGTGCAACAAACGTAAATGTGTTTATGAAAAAAAGCCTTAGTTAAACGTACAGTATGTAATTTTTGGCCACCAGGGGTCGCTAATCTCTTACAATAACAAAGGCGTATATCGATGACGCAAAGCATCAAGCGGAATTATGGATCTTGTCGTCAAGCTGATGGATCTTTTATGGATGAGTGAATACAGTGATGTTTTTAACATGACTGTGGTATGAAGCAGGACGCGATTGCTAATGAGAGACGTAACGTTATACCAGCGCCACACGCAACACGAGTCCCACGGATATAAAGGAATAAGGACATTTCATTCTACCGAACTACACGCAAGTGCTGAATTATTAAGTTACTCACAGGTCAGTTTATTAGACGAATTAAACTTGAGGTAACGCAGCGCTGTTTCACTTGCTCTAACAGTTACACTATCACACTAAATGGCATTTCAGTGTGTTGAATGTTGTTAGTTAGGTTGTTTGTTGGCTATATGAGACTAGCAGTAAGCTAGATCAACATTAGAATAACATACAGATCAAATTCTAACATTTCATCATATTGAACTAAATAACATTGATTAGTTTTATGTACATTTGCTTATCTGTCTAATAAAGTACATGCAACACTCGCGTCTCTGTCGAGTCGAAGTTAGTCGTGGACGTGGAGCTCTCGGCATCTCAAAAGATTTTGATCTTCGTTCTAGTCCTCTTTTTGTCTCAAAGTCTGCTTGCCATGGTCCAAAATGTTTGAACAAAACAACAACTGTGTGAGCGTCCTGCTAAGCATAGACCAGTTGTCCACGTCTGTCGCCATGGTTACTATGGCAGTACAAGCGGAAACCGGGGGTAACGCGGATATGACGCCATTGACTGGCGACTCCTCACCCCTGCTGACACGTCCCGTTTCCTTGGTTAAAATCGCAATTTTCTCACGATTTACAAATAGTTGGAAACATTGGGGATATTGTAAGTAATCAACTAAACAAAATATATAACATTGGCCTAGTGGTTTTTGGATATTTTACTGCAAAAATCCTACATATTGTACCTTTAAATCTGTTCATCTTAAAGTGATCGTGTCTCATCAGTAGCCTTGGATTCAACCACTTAAATTATATTGAATTATATACTTTTACGATGTCTTAATTTGATGCATGAAATTTTAGTGAAATAGACTTTCAATGGAAGGACAGAAATATCTCAGATTTCATTAAAAATATCTTAATCTGTGTTTCCAAAAATGAACAAAAGTCATACTGCTTTGGAACGACATGAGGGTGAGTAATGGCAATTTTTTTTTATTTTAGGTGAACTATCCCTTTAATATGCCAATAATTGGTCTTCAAAGATTGTCATCATCATCATCATCATCATCATATAATAAACCATGTAATAAACCAAGGTGCTACCTTACCCCCTCCTTGTGTGAATTATTAAATCCACCAACGGTCTTGTCAAAGGATAATAAACTATTTCTGTTTTGAGTAAATATTTTTGTTCAATTCTCTGTAGTAGTGTGTGTCTATACTATACAAGAACATTTCATGCAAGTATATTAATTTATAAATGTTTATGGGACATTAATTTTTACCCTTTAAATGTAAAGCAACTATCCATATACAGTACATAAAGCAATATACACACATACTGTATATATATATATATATATATATATATATATATATAAATATATACATATATATATATATATATATATATATATAATATATATATACATATACACAAACACACATTTATTTATATTGTAGGATACATAATGCATCCAACTTTATTCATGCATACAGTATACTCCTGTAAAATAATATAAAATGTAAATTATCGCCCAGCTCAAATCTGCTAAATGCAACTATAAGACATGAGGAAAATCATTTTTTTTCTCAATAGCTAAAACACTAAACCCCATTCTCTGAACCAAATGCCCAAATGCTCAGTGGCCTAAACATATTTTGTCAAATAAATCACTCTTTTGGCAAAAAAAGTTCTGGTAGTTACTTAGACAGTAGACTCCATTAACATTTATATTCGCAAAACTCTAAATAAATTCTCACTTACTAAAACACATTTCGCACTGTTTCGCATTGCATTTGTGTTGGAAAATGGTAAACAAGCTGGAAAAGTTAAACAACTATAACACAATTGTCATTATTTACACACAACGACTCAAAATTGTTCACTCTCGCTTCTAATGATGTGATCAAACCAACTGTACAACATACAGGTGATGAGCTCAGACTGCACAGGTGTAACGGGTGCACTGAATGTTGATACGAACAATGGATGGAAACTATCTGAGAAGGAGAGGAGGAAGAGCACATAAGAGGTGGTGGATGAAGAGGATAAGGACAAGAAAGAGCATGTTGTGGACAGTGTTGTCAAGGCTGGATCTGGCCTGGCAAGGAACATCAATGTTGCCTTTGTCCTGAGGCCGGATACAGCACGAAGACGTGATGCAGAGGCAGAATGAAACTCTCCTTGCATTTGCAATTTTTTTTGAGTGTACGGTAAAATGCTTTTGATTTAGAATACTCTTTGACCTTTTGCAGTTGGACTAGTGTATTTTTACCGTATGCAAGTGTACAGAATACAATACTATACTTGCAGTACATACAGTATTTTCACCTTACTAAATTGTGATCACTACACTTTAAGTAGGCGTAATTGTACAATTTGTAACTACATGATCTGGATGCTGTGTTCTCCACTTTTATTTTATTTTTGTAGAGTCTAATGAATGAACTGTAGTGTTTATATATTGAATAGAAGAGTCAGTGGTTTTGTAAATGTAGGCTAGTTTGAAAATATGGTTTAGTGTGTAAAGTTGTGAGAAAATGGGTGAAGCTTTCAAGAAATGTCTATCAGCGATTGTGGGACATTCTAAGATATTATAAACATTAACATCACGATTTTGAAACAATGTGTTTTGTGAATATCTTTATACAAATAAAATTGACTTGATTTGGCTATTCAATACACTGTATCGATCAGTCACTACATCCCTACCACCTCTAACAGAAATTCACCATGGTAACCACAGCTACGATAAAAAGATCACATTGTTGTTTTTACAGTAACGTTAATTGTACAGTATTTATACTAGCCACAAGCCATTGTATAAGAAAATATAAATTAAACTAAATGTGAAATAACTGACAGTTTCTTAATGTTTGAATCAGACCCTGTATTAACTTATGATTTTTCAATAGTGACTGTGGTATTTGGGGGGAAATCTAATTCCCACGGTGTATTTTAGCAAGGAATAAAACCCACTATGGGGTTGACAACACTGTGTTTACTAGTAAAACCCTCTCTGCTCTCAGGCTGACTGACATAGTCAGCCACAGCCTAACACAGCTAACAAACCCACCCACTCTTCTCGTATTAACAAATACCGGTAGCTATTCTGATCCAGTAAGAGCACGTGCAACATACCCGTGTGCATTATTTTAGTATATGTAGTGGTGTGGTTTATGTGAGCATTCAAAGCAGAATATGTTTGAGTTTCCGCTCGCGGAGCATTAGCTCGCCTGCTAAACACAAACATCAACACGCGCCACTTACTGTAAAATCGCCGTCCCGCGCTCCAACCATCCACTGCAAACTCTACCCTCAGTGCCTAATTGACAAAACACATGTGGGTTTCCACTCTCACGAATACAAAGCTCAATAAAACTGTTATTAGCGTATGACAGATGTTTCTGTGTGAATCATGGCGATAGACTGATTTTTTTTTTCTTTCTTCTCTGAATACCCGGAAACACTCGACTGAGAGCGTGACGTTTACTTGACTGACGGGCTGTTGTCCAATCACGACACAGAAAGAAAGAGCAGCGTATGCGCGAGGGCGGGACTACCGTAGGTTTTGCTTCCCTTCGTTACTCACCTTGCATGGATTATGAGTATTAATCTGTCTATGGTAATCATGTAGTAGAACGTTATATATACACAGACATATATATATATACACAGAACTATATATAGGTGAAAAGCGATTTTCTGCACATGTATATACCTTAAACACTGAATACGAAAAAGTTCTAGTAATGGTTAAAGGCTTTTCATAATATATTTTCAAATTAATCAACAAACACAGAGTACATATAAAAGTGAAATTTATTCGAATACACGCACACACACACACACCCATACCACATGCATTCTGCACTTATTTTTGGCTTCTACAAATGGAAATAAAAAGACAAAAACATCAGAAAACACATCATAAATACTGTAACAACATATACAAAAGAGTTCATTGTCCTCTGTTTAACATAATTATTATTTTAAAAAACTTTCATGTGCATAATTCTACCATACATTTCAGACCAAATGCCTTAAAAACACCTTGATATGAAAAACACCTCAGAGTTATTGCCATCGGAAAATGCAAAAATAGTGCAAGTAATGAACAAACATGATATGAAAATTCTAGAAGTATAGATTGTAAGTCTCAGATTTGTTTTGAGTGTCCAGTGAGATTTACTTGTAAGTCATTTACTTGCAAAAGATTCAAAAGCAAACTGAAAACTTAAACATCACTTTCAGACTGACAATTAAAAACAGAAAAATATAAAATGCTACACACAAGCTATTGACTATTTTCTTATTGCATTTTCTTTGACTTTCAGGTGTTAATTAAACTGAAATGAACCATTACATCGAAGGATTGCTTTATCTGCAGTGGTTCTTTTCAGGAATCCAGAAGGCAAAATGGTTTATAAAGTGCTTTGCTATTTTACATAAACATGAATAACAGTATGATAGTTAATCTAATACAATTCTCAAGTATTTCTCCCACCGTCTAATGACAACATATGAAACTGACAGTTTTTATCAGTATGTCTGCAAAGGTTTGCCAGATTTTTGGTCAATTGCCACATTAGAGCTGTACATCTGTAGCTGACTACTACACATCCACCACCGGCTGCTATTTCAACAACGGCTCGGTGGTCACAGAGGTTTCAAATGATTATGAATTCCCTTCAGATACAGCAGATAACTATCATTTCCTCAGAATCATGCAAAAACATGTAGGACAAGCCCATCAAAACAGGATAATTCCATGTAACTTCATGAGACTAACGTTATAGGCATGTTTTAGTATGATTGAATGAAAAGCATCCAAGCTGTTGCTCATTCAGTCCCCAACACTGTCTTAATATCATAGTGCTAAGATTAAAGTCATCACTTTAAGTGCCATCATGGAGATTTCATCTCTGTCTATTATGAAAAAGTCTTTTCTCACCTTTCTTTGGCTTTGGAAACCAAGTATCACATTTTAAATGAGTGGGTGAGTGTGAGTTTTTCCTTTCACGAAATTTAAAATTGCAACTTTGATTAAAAGAGATGTAGATATTTTGGGTTTGATGATGCATCACACACATTTGGGCTGAAGGGAGGAGAGTCGCCGCACAATCCACTGTTTACCTACAGAAAGGGCAAACAAATGTACATCAGAGATAAGACAAAGTCCCTTTAAGGCAAGTCATTTCCCTCGGAGGCCATCTTTGAAACGGGGAAACATAAAATTCTCCAAAGCTGTTCACCAAAGTTTACAATTACATTTCATATTTGAAATTACCAATGAAATCTGACAACAACTGTCTTATTTTTTTTTCTCTAAATGCTCAAATCATGACAAACAATGCATTTTTTTAGGCGTCTCTTAGAAACACTGACTGTTTTTATAGCAACAAGTGCTTCTAATTGGCGATTGGCTCTTTTATTTATAAGGGAGGACTTATTCCGCTATATTGCGCTTTTTACTTTCTCCCATTCATAATAATATTAGTGCACCTTCTTTGTATATAAAGTCTTTGGATGAGATGAATAATGAGCAATCTATATAACTAGTGTGTTTTCACTACAAAGGTTTGAGTTTAGTAAGATTTTTTAATGTTTTTGAAAGAAATCTCATATTCACCAAGGCTCCATTTATTTAATACAAAAAAAAGAAGTATTATTACAGAACTGTTTTTTTTTATTTTGCAAGTCTTTAAAATGTAATATATATGTAATGGTAAAGCTGAATTTTCAGCATCATTACTCCAGTCTTCAGTGTCTCATGATCCTTCAGAAATTATTCCAATATGCTGATTTGCTGCTCAAGAATATTTCATAATATCATCAAATTGTGCTGCTTCATATTTTTGTGGAAACCATAATATTTTCATATTTGAAACAGAAATCTTTGTAACATTATAAATGTCTGTACTGTCACTTTTGATCAATGCATCCTTGCTAAAGTATTAATTTCTTTTAAAAAAAGTATATAAGTACTAACCTCTAACTACTAACTAACTAACTTTAGAACTGTAGAGTAGGTGTGTTATACTCACATTTGTTGATATTGTTTATGTCTGCAGTCTCTGTAATTAAAGACAGGCCCTCCATCAGCAGTAAGGCCTTATGGTATCGCTCTACAGAGGTTTCTCCATGATGAAACATCTCGTCCAGCGCTGCTGTCTGTACCTGATCATATAAGAGAGGAGTGCAATTCATAATATTAGTATTACAGATTAGATACGGAGATGTTTCTCCTCATATTGTAAGAAACCAAACATGAGTGTGTTCATACCATCTGAACGGTGTGTGTGTAGATGAGTCTCTCAGCAGTAATGTTGTTCATGCGGTCCATCAGTCTTTGCTTGCTGCTGAAGAAGAGCTGGAGTTTCTCAGTGAGAGAACGGCAGGCGTTCACACACCCCTTATACATCTCATTAAGCTTACGTACTACTGCAAGAGCAAAACACACACACACAATGACACACACACAACATACCAATCAGAATGAATGTTTTATACAGTTACAGTATGTGCAGTTTTTGATTGATCACAAGTGACAGTAAAGTCATTTAAAGAGAATGGTACAAAATATTTCTATTTCAAATAAACCCTGTTCTATTAAACTTTCTATTCATCAAAGAATTCTGGAAAAAAAACCCCACAATATTCACAAAAATGTTGATACAAAACAAATTAAAATTCCCTTGTTACAGTGTAATTTATATAAAATAATACTGAGTAATACTGTACCTAACATGAGTATATGCACCTAATATGAGTAATACAAATTATAAATTATAAATAAAATACATATAAAGCATACTTTACTGTTATTACTATATGTAAAATGCTAAACAGGGAAACTAAAAATAAAGTATTACAAGCAATGTACAAGAAACACAAAACAATTAATATAACGGTTCAAATGCAAAAGGTAACATACGCAATTATCAAACCATTATTTTGGCAAACAGAAATCATAATTTGGACAATTTCCCCATGATATATAGTTATATATATGGTTGCATAATTTAGAGATATTTTGGTCCCACTTTATATGAACTACTATGTACAAAAATTGTAATTAATAAGTTTATTTTTTTGTTTAATTATGTAATGTAATTACATGTAATTAATTTCTATAATTACACTGCTAACCCTTCCTTTACCCGATAACCCACCCTTAAACTTAACCATACTATGAAACCTGTCCCTAATCTTACCCGTATCCCACCTCAATAGCAGCAGAAGTGTTTTGCAACTCAACATGAACACAATAAGTACAAGTACCTAACATTTGTTAGTAGTTAAGGCAACATAATATGAAGTGGGACCGTTTTTTTTTTTTTTTTTGCATTAAGATTGTTGGCTGTTTTTGGCAATTATGTGCTTGGAGTATGTGACTTACCTTGTTTAACAGATCCTGATGGGTAGAGTTTGCCTTCTTTGATCCCGGCCATCGCTGTGTGTAGCGCTGAGGACAGCAGCTCGGCACACTTCATATAGAGGACCAGCTGCTCTGCAGAGCTACATACACATGTGCACATCACTCACAGTGTACGTGACGTAATATCATACACATGACACATAAGCACGTGTATGTGTATGCATGAATGAGTAGTATCTCACCTCCACTCATGGCTCAGCAGGCTGATCTGGTCAGCCACCATGCTCTGCTCTAAGAATGAAGCATCAAGTGCCATGTTCCTTTCCCCACTGTCCTTTGTTCGAGCGACCTCTGTGATGCAGTAGGAAAAGGCTAGAATGAAGCGCAGTCGGCTCAGCAAGTCTGTATGCCCCTCCTGTGTAGAAGAAGAGGAGGGCATTTTCAATTTAACAAAAAATTATTTCGGTCCTCATAGACAATTTCTATCCATCAAAGAATCCTGAAAAAAAAAAAAAATGGTTTTCACAAAAACATTACGCAGCACAACTGTTTCTTGAGCACCAAATCAGCATATTAGAATGATTTCTGAGGGATCATGTGACACTGAAGACTGGAGTAATGATGCTGAAAATTCACCTTTGCACCACAGGAATAAATTATATTTAAAATATATTTAAATAGAAAGCAGTTATTTATAAATTGTAATTAGTATGTAATTGATGTACTGATAGGATTTTTTCCCCTCCAGATAACAATACTGATTTTAACAAACAACTATTGGCTGATTCCGAATCCGATACCGGTATGTCACTTGCTCTCTTATTTGAACTTTTGTCATTAAAATAGATTTGTGTTTTGATCATGTTTTAAATGAGCAAATAAAAAAAATGCATGCATATACAGTACTGTATACTATGCATATACTGTACAGTAGATCATCAAATTATTTCTATTGAACATGGATTGGATCCATTTAACATTCAACAGGCTAACATAAATAGATAAATACACCAAAACAAAGACGCATTTGAAATAAACAGTGCTTTTCAGGCAGGTCTAACAGTAGTTTTCAGGTACAGAAATACAGTAATCAAATGTAAAATAGCTTATAAATAAAATAGCTTAATAAATTAAATATACATGAATCCTTATTAAAGTTACAAAAGCTATTCAGTCAAGAGTAGGGAGCGATTTTTTTTTATTAACATTAAAACAGACATCAGCGCAGCAAGAATATTAGGCTGTGTCACTTTAAGAGCTGCACGGATCCAATATACTGGTACACAAGCGTTTTATTTCTTGTGACTGTCTGACTGACTGTATTTTTCATACATAATGTATAGCCCAATTATTTTACCTCCATAAGCGTCTCCTCTGGCAGTTCAGGTGGCACAAATGCCACGTCCTCACTGAGGTTTGTTGCAATGGCATCTGTGTAACCACAGCGCAGGCTTTCAGGTGAACCGTAGGCCTCGTGCAAATGACCGTAGGTCCAGCCAGGGCTCGTTGGGCTGGGAGTGCCCACTTCAAAAACAGATGAGGTGAATTGAAAATACATTGTGAGTCTAACAGATACAATAACATACAAATGCAATGTGTTTCAATCTCATTAAGCAAAATAATGGAAGTGTCACCTGAGAAGCGTCTAGGTCGAGTAGAGTGAGGAGGTGTGAGTCCGAATTCAGGAGAGCCCAGCATGAACACAACTCCAGCAGGACTCCCTGAGCCCTGCTCTATGCCATCATTGCCACAAGGGGGTGCTACAGAGATCAGTACACAATGGCATTTTAAACAGCAGATACACTAAGAAAAGTGCCTGATGCCATGTTTTTAAAATATGGTCTATGACTATGATTAACTACCGATATAAACAAAACATCTTTAAAAAGGTATTATCATGGCATACGATAATTGGCGCTGTAAGACTTATAGCATAGTCATAAACTTTAGACATTCAAAACTGCACATAGTTATGGCACTTTTAAATACAGGGTCAAGATAGTATTCCAGTCATTTGTGAATAAAATAAAATAAAATAGAATGAAAATAAATAAAAATAATAAAGAAGATTTCTGGGGTGGATTTCCATTTGTATGCCCAGTATGAATATTTTTATGGTAATTAATAGATTATAACGATTATAGCTTCCTGAGGGAACCAGTGTTGGGTAAGTTACTCTAAAAAGTAATGAATTACTAGATATTAAGTACATCTTCAACAGTGTAATTAGATTACTGTGCTCTCTCTAAAAAGTATTGGATTACTTATTACCAATTACTTCCTGAATCCCCTATCAACCTCGACCAGTTGAACAATTCAAGGATAGATATGAAACAGCTCTTTTATATCTTTCAACACCAATAGCAAACCACAACTATTCAACCATCCAATCAATTCCCAAGTCCTATTCTACATTTTTTTCTAGTTTCAGCTGTTTCACTCGAATAAACGTCATAAGGGGAAAAAAGACTACCGCAACTTGTTTCATGCTGACTTTAAAGCTTGTCTTTTGTTGAGTGGCTAACATCACTGTGTTAGCATGAGCTCATACCTGTTGTGTCCATGGGTTTCTCTGAATTTAAGCTCTCACAGCTGCCCCTGTCAAGTTGATGTCCGAACACAGCCTTCAGCAGCTTATCTGAGAGACGGCCGGTACTTAATGACCTACAACACAAATGACTCATAAACACAGCTCTATGGAACAAACTCGTCTTCCAGAAATCACATCACTGCAGTGAATGCACAAGCTTTCTTCACCCTGAACTAAAGCCTTATTGACTAATAATACCTTTTGACCATGTCCCTTCTTTCCGCTGGCTTGAGAAGTGGCACACGGGGCCTTGTAGCCGGGTACTGTGCCAGATCTTTCAGGTCAGACGCGGCCTTGGTTCGGGCGGTCAGGCCTCGCTGAACCAGCGCCGTACTTGGAGTTTGACCAGAGATGGGTCGCCGATACAAATCCCACTGAATTGAAAAGTAGTCATATATTAGTGTTGTTAACTGATTAAAAAAATGAACTAATTAATCACACATTTTTCTGTAATTAAAACATTAAAAGTTTTTAAATATTTTAATATTGTAATACATATTTTCACACTGAATATCCAAATTAATGTAGACTCAACATTAAGATGGTATATTTTAAATAAAAAATGTTTTACTCAATTTCTGGGGATGAAATGAGTAATTATAGCCATTCAACATTACAGAATAATTGATCAAATTTCACATTTGATCAAATTCTCAGTTGAATGTGTTTTAACTAAAGTAAACATGTATTATACTAAGGTCTGTGTTGAAGTCATTGCCAAAACTATTGACTCCCTAACTCTAAACAGGAACACCTGTGGTTTACACACTATGGCGGTGGAGCTGTTTTTTGTGTTTATGTTTTGTCATTCCCTGATTAGCCAGCAACAGTTACTCACTCTGTGCACTACAGATTCTGGGCTGTGCTGATGACCTCTGAGTCTGTGAGTCAGGGTTGTGTCTAAGGTTGTCAGGTCAGTGAATAGAGGAGAGACCTGACCAGGCCGTTGATCTAAGAGACAAACAGAGACAGAGAAAAATGAGAAGTTGGAACAAGAAGTCTTACAAAAAATCGAATTGATATGCAGTGAAACAGGTATTTCACCTGCAGCATTTAACCCCGTCTTACTGCCAATAGGCTGGGGCTGACTGGGTGTTTCAGGAACATTTCCCACTGAAAAAAACAACAACACCATTCTCTATTTGATCAACAAAAACACATGGTGTCCTCACTTTTGACCAATGCTAATATACTATTATATTATTTACAAATATTTTTAATTTGAATTAACTTTTATTTTTATATTTTCAGTTAATTTTAGATTTAGTAATTTGGTCATTTTTATTACTTTTATTTAATATTTCTATATAGCTTTAATAAATTTTTATTTCAGTTTGAGGTTTAGCAATTTTTGTACTTCAACTCCAACATATTTTACTTCGGTCAGTCATTTTAAATGTTTTCATCTAATATGTATTATTTCAATTATTGAAAACTTTTTAATTGTAGTTTTAGTTACCAAATAACTGATTTCCATGACTTTCCATGACCTTTGACAGGTGTTTGTATAATTAAGACTTGTTTTTAATTCAACTCAGACAAAAGGACTGACTTTATTCGTTATTTCCAGCTTCCTGAAAAAAAAAACCGCCGCTAGAGTCTCTTTCTCTACTAGTAAAGTATGCAAATCAAAAACTGGTTTCTTTACCTTGTGGGGAAGGTAGAAACGGTCTTGATCCTTCTGATTCCGAAGAAGCCCTGATTCTTCCACATGTTGGAAATCCATTTGAGTAGCAGTGATGTACAGGTGTTGCTGTCCTGAAATAACATAAACAGAGCTCATGTGTGTATGCATGGGGCATTCAGGAGCACATTTATACATCCTTATTATGTCAGAGAGAGAGAGATAGAAATAAACCCAACCTGTCAGACACTTGTAGGTTGTGCTCCATCCTCTGGTAGTTGTGTTTTTGTGTCGGCACTGGAACAGGCACAGACTGAGCGTAACTACTGCCACATGACTCCAGAGGCCTAGAGAGAGAGAGAGAGAGAGAGAGAGAGAGAGAGAGAGAGGGGAGAGGGGTGATTGGTATGTCATGTGCACAAACATACAGTGCTTAGCATAAGAGAACACACCCATGCTAAAGATGACTAAAAAGATTAATAAAAAAAATCAGCTTTTGGAAATTGATCTTAATGCCTCAATTAAAAAAATGAGGAAAATTCCAACCTTTAAGGACACCAATTTTCTTTGCGAATGAATAATTTATCATAAATAAATAAATGTTCTTCCTTAAAATACAGGTGGCATAAGTCAGGACACCCCTATGTTATATTCCCATAGAGGCAGGCAGATTTCCAATTTCCAAAAGATGATTTTTTATTCATCTTTTTAGTCAACTTTAGCATGGGTGTGTTCACTTATGCTAAGGACTGTACATTTAAACCATTTGTTCCCTGGTGATCTGTGAATTACTTTCATCTCTAGTATTTCAGCTTTCTCCGGTCACGTTAGCTCAGACAGCTGTCTCTCACTTCACACAAGCAAACAAAGGCTATTGTTTAGAGTGAGCTGCTCGTGAGAGTGTGTGTTTTTACAGTCTCTGCCATATTAAATGCTAATCTCCATACTAATGCACACACAGTACCTGGAAGGGCTTGGGGAGGCTCTGACAGACGGGGAGGATGATGGCGTTTGACCCACACAAGCAGTGACACCCAGCAGTGAGTTTCTAGAAATAGTACACATACACAGTTATGCCATTATTGTTATGCTATTAAAGCATCCAACTATATAATATAGACCAGGGTTTTTCAATCTTTTAGATTACATGCCACAGACCCCAAATATGATCATCACCCTTATGCAATGGAACCCTATCCTAAAATGTAAAAGGCAGCTGTATATAATGGTTAAAGACCCAATTTATTCAAATTTTTTGGTATACTATACTATTGTAAAATATTATTTGTAAAATATTGTATTTGTTACATATTTGCATCTTTCTACTCAATTTGATTCTGAACAATTAGATATTTTGATTCTGTACTGAATTTATTTATATCAAGATTTTATTGTATGTGTGCGCAAAAAAAAAAAAATATATACACACTGTATACTGCAAATATATATATATCTAAAAATATTTGATATTGTACTCCTGAGCATGTTTTGTATATTTGTATCTGTATTCGTTTTTTATACTTTTATTTGTAGTCATTTTGATGTACTCTCTATATCAATTCAATCCTAGTTTCACGAAGTAGAAAAATAAATACACTTCAAACATTTTTAAAACAATTTATTTAAATCAAATTTTATATTTACTTTAATCAGTGTTTTTTAAATGAATTTTAATCAAAATTTTGTATTTAATCCTGTTTTTCATTCCTTTCAAATATGTTTTTCCCCTAAACGTTCTGTATTAAGATTTTTTAATGTTTTTGAAAGGACTCTATTGCTCACCAAGGCTTTGCCATAACAGGAATAAATTACATCTTAAAATATATCAAAATAGAAAAGTTGTATTTTAAATTGATATAGCATTTCACAATATTACTTGATTTTACTGTATTTATGATCAAATAAATGCAGCCTTGGTGATCATAACAATCTTTTTCAAAAACATTAAAACATCTAACTAAACCCCAAACGTTTCAAAGGTAGTGTATAAACGTGTATCTTAACTAGTCTTTTAACTCATAAATGCATTAGATGACAGACACAAATGTAAAAAAAATGCTAAAATTTATTAGAAAATTTATAGTGAAAATGAAACGTTATACTCAAGCAATTTTTGCTATCATGACCGTAATGTCTTTCGTCCTTCACTGCACAAACGCGTCAACACATAAACAGACCTCTTCACAGAACCATACAAACGGTCATCAGGTCAAAAGGTCAACTGACATACTTGAAATGAATATTCACGACACGTGACACTGGTAAACATGCAAACCATTGTGTTAAGTGCAGAGACAAAATGCAAGCACATCTCTTGTGTAGGTTAGAACTGAGAAGCATGTTGCATGTAACTATATACACTATGTGTGTGGGCCGTGTCACTTTAACCCTTAAAGTATTGGAAAAACGTACTTACCCGCTGCGCATCAAACTGTCCTGCCCTTCTGCTGAGACTAGTTCACCTACAGGAGTGATCAGATTGAGATGTTATATTTGTACAAAAAAAGCAGGTTTGTTTGTTGCATAATCCAAAGTAGGTCAACGAGTGTGAGGGCTCATCTTACTGGTGAACTGAGCCGGCACCATTACGAAGTCATCGGACTCAGAGGAAGATTCAGAGGAAGAGTCTTTCAGCTGGGAACCTGGAGACGGTGTGGGGTTCATTTGAGGGAGGGGCCTCAGAGCTTCAGTGTCAGACTGTCAAGAAAATACTTTATATATACACTACTGTTCAAAAGTTTGGGGTCAGTAAAATTTTGTACGTTTTTGAAAGAAGCCAATGGAAGCATGTTTCCACAGACGAGAATCCATGAACCGTTTTCTAAGGCTGCATGGTGTATTAAAACGATTTAAAAACCATACTATAGTATTGTGAATTCACAAAGGCTTCGATTCAATTAAATAAATATATGTCCTGCGGGTTTAATATATGCGTGTAGATTAAGTGCGTGTAAGTAATATATGCGTAATATAAGTAATATATGCGTGTAGATTAAGTGCTCAGAGCGGCTCCGTTCACAGTAAATCCTGCTGCACATGGTCTGTTATCATTTACATGCGTGGAGCGTCTCAAACTCCATCTCTGCATATGCTGTGAGTTTGGGTTGCTTATAATGTTTATATAGGAACGCAACGCGTGCCATTTCATCAGATTCGTAAGTAAAACATTTAAAAACCTATGCAAACATCAATTTGTTTCTAAATATGCAATCTGTTCATCGTGATTTAAAAATAAAACAAAATAATTAAAAGTTTGCATGTTTTGATGTCCACATATTCTTGTTCAAGAAATTACACTGGCTGTAGCATTTCTATTTAAAAGAGGTGACCAAATATTGAAGCATTTGAATTAAATGTCATTTGGCAAATATTAAACAAGGATTTGATCTGCGGTAAATATTATGTATTTTAACAGTGTTGTTCTTTAAAACCATATGATTACTTGCATTTGATCCTTTATTTGAACCAAAAAGCATTGTCTCGTTGTTATATATGTATTTAAGGAATTTTAAAGGTTTAGGTCTTTGCTTAGGTCTATTTTTATAACCACACCAAAAAAAATCTGATTAATCGCCAAAATAGTCGACCGATTACTCGATTAGTAAAATAATCATTTGTGACAGCCCTAATCACAATACACCTAAAAAAGGTGTATTTCATGCATCATGAGCTGTTACTGTGTTACCTGAGTAGGAGTGAGGCGTGCTGTTGAGGAACCGCTGCTGGAGCTCCCAGAGCCAGAGCTGGGATAGGTGGGCACAGGCACTGGAGAGGCTAAGACAACAATGAACAGATGTAAATGTTACTGTAACCAAAGCTATAGCTATAGCTTGAAAAAAGTAGTGTACATCATAATCGTACATTTCTTCATGGATGTACTGGCCTCCATGAAAGGATGGTGGAAAAATTTATCTGAAATAGACAATAATCACTTATTTATTATTATTATTATTATTATAAGTTGTCAATTTATGATTCCTACAGGGTCTTGTAAAGTCAAATGTGTGATTGTATGTGTCCACTGACCAAAGTCCATGCGTTCCATGTGGTTCCTCTGCAGCAACCCAAGCAGAAGGTGCCTTAGGGTACTGGAGGTTTCACGTGGAATACTGGGAAAAGCATTTAGGTGCTGTGTTAGACACTGACAGGAATCACAACCAACACAGTTCTGTGTGCATGTTTATATTCTTGTGCAAGGGCTCTTTGTGTTGCCAGAGTAGAAAAGCGATACTCATGAAAGCAAACATTGCAACAGTCTAGGTAAGTAAATAAGGCTTTCATTTTAAAGAGGGAAAGTAGTGAAAGATGGAAGAGAGAAAAGAAACCAGTTCTACTGCCTTGTGTACACTATCATTCAAAGGTTTGGAGTGGCTTTTGCCTGAGAAGAAGAAGTCTCTTTCTATGCTGATCTGGTGCTCAATTAACATTTCTTATTATTATTAATGTTTTAAACAGCTGTGCTGCTTAATATTTTTGTGGAAACAGAAAAATGTTTTTTTTTTTTTTGGATTCTTTGATGAATAGAAAGTTAAAAAGATTTAGATAAATTTAATGCATCCTTGCTAAATAAAAGTATTAATTTCTTTCAAATAAATTATTTCAAATTTACAACACCAGAGACCTTTGCAACTGTATAGCACACACTAAACCGGATCATGTTGATTGATGACTAACATGCAGTCCTCAGGGTCACTTACCTGGGACTCAGGCTCCGGTTTCTTTCATAGAACTGCCGCAGTTCCTGTGGAGTATTTGCCTGGAAAAATATTTTAGAAAGAGAAAGAATTTGAGAAATTGTGTTGACCTCATTATAGTTAACTGATCATCTGGGGGAAAAAATCTGGACGGCAAAAAAAAAAAAACTAAGAATTTACAATGAGGGAGGGACCTGAATCTGAATATCTTTCGACTTGGGCTAGTAAGTACTTGAGCAATGTTCTAACTGCTCTCCAGAAACACTTTAGCATCATTACAGCAGGTTTTGCAAGATCAAATACCACTCAAATCTAGTTAGATATAGATTTTGTTGGTTCACTTAAAACTATCCACTACCTTGAAGGCAAATATCATGCATATTTTTAGACTTTATACTGAACTATAGTTTGTTGTGAGCAGTATCACATGACTTTACTACATTCTTCTTTATAAACTCTGGCTGTTTGGGATATAAACATTTGTTCCATATCTGAAGTTAAATTTTAGACTAGAGGGACTGTTTCTACAAATCATAAAGGCTTTCTAATGGCTGCAGGAACAAGCACTAAAAGTAATATTTCCATGCAGGATGAGGTCAACACAATGGCTAGGATAGAGGCGACTGGTCTGTTCTGAATGAACTCAGTGACCCATCTTGACCCATCTGCAGACTCATATCACATTTCAAGACTCCCAGGAGCTCCTAATGCCTAACTAACTCTTTCTGAAGGCTAAAATGTGAACCCATAAATAGACACAGTTTTGACTGTGTGCTCAGAGGGGTCTCAAAAGTTAGCTGTGTGGAAGCAGTGTGAACAGAGGTGATCCTAATAATACATGATGGCACATGCATCACCCTTTCAGGATTATAATAATGAATTATCATAAACTAATAATGTTCAGCCTGGGGCAATATTCAGAGGAAGTACTGCAGAAACTAATTACACAAACATGCATTTTTATTTTGCAATACATTCATCACACAGAAAAAAGAACTCACTCTTCTAGTAGTGCAACCCGAGATGCCGCCCATACTGTATGAGTGGGCATGTGTGTATGTTTGGGTGTGAGTCTTTGTTAGTAAATCAGAGTGTGTGTTTAGTTGTAGAGGCATATGGTTATGTTTATCAGTGAGATGTCACAATCATGTTTCACACTCTACAGGGCATAAATAACCGAGTGTGCCAGCCAGTTAAGCTTTCGCAATGAAAAGGTTCCAGAAGGTTTTCAGTAGTGACGTAGTAGAAATTCACAATTGATAGCATTTTTTTCTTGATTATTACACATTGCCTTTAAAATGTTTGGGGTCAGTAAGAGTTTATTAAAAAAAGAAAGAAATTAATACTTTTATTCAGTATTTTATTAAAATGTTTTAAATTGATCAAAACATTGTGTGCTCGCATTAGCAGAATATTAGACCTAAAATACCCTAAACTTGGTAAATGGCTATTTTATTCAACAATATCTCATATTGAATCTGTTTTTAGTGGTTTAGACATTCTTCTGAGGGGAAAAAAAACCTTTAAAGGGAGAGTTCCCCAAAAAACAAGACTGTAAGACTTCCATGAAAGATTTTCAGTAAATAACAACTTAAAATTTGGTCTGTATTGAGACATGAGGGTGAGTAAATAATTTTAATTTTTAGTAAATCATTTTTAATTTTGGGTAAACTATCCCTTTATATTGATCCACACTCTTCAAAGAGAAAGCTCAAAAATATAAAATGCAGAAAGAGAGAGAGAGAGATGTGAGTGTGCGTGTGACAGGTTAAAACAAGCTTTCTCTCTTTGGGTCATACAATTTGTTGTTTTTGTGCTGTGTTTTTGTGTATGTCACTGACCTGAAATGGGGCTTTGCCAGTCAAGCACTGGTAGATGATGGTCCCTACGCTCCACAGGTCAGCTTTGGCATCATAATTCTGTGACATGATGACCTCAGGAGCCTGGAAAGTTGAGCAAGACAAGTAGTACTCAAAAATATATGGAGTAAGTCAAGTCACACAGAGTTAGTCAGAATATCTAATACGTGGCTGCTGTTTTTCGAACAAGTCAAGTAAAAGCTGTACTTTAATATGGCATACTTTCCAGTAGGGCTGAACAATTAATTGAAATGAAATAAAAAAATCTACAAAATCGTAGTGTGATTTAGTGTGATTATCAAATCACTAAAGGCTGTGACAGTGTGTTTCAGAGTAAAGCGTGGCACTGTGTTCTTACATGATAGCAGCTCATGATCCAGTGTTTTAAGTGTCTCAGCACAACATGGTCCACCATCATCATTGATGCTTGACGATACGATACGTCAACTTATTATTCCTGCATTAATCCTGCAGCCTGTTCCTTAACATTTGGATAATACTGAACATGAAAGTTTTGAAGTCAAGTACTCACCATGTACATAGGAGAGCCACAGAGCGTGGCAGCCATGGTGTTTCCCTGCAGATAACGTGCAAAGCCAAAATCAGCTAAAGGGAGAGATAGAAAGGAAAATCAGTGTATAGTGCAAAGGACTACATTTGGGAGCTTGTTTTGGTAGTGAAAGGTGGTGCACGAATGTTTACAGTCAGTGTCTTTTAGTTGTTTGACTTTACACAGCTGTGGAGTGACACACAGTGTCTACATAACGCTCAAGAGCAAACAGAACAACGTCGTAAACACCTAAAACAAACCGCAGTCATAACACAAGAACAAAAACACCACAGCCAACCACTGCCAAACCTGATAACTCATAATCTTACAGTCTCATAATCAGTACATACTGATCCATGACCAGTCTTTGTGTTTCTTTTAGTAGAAACTGTGTACTTTGACCCGGAGCACTCACCCAGTTTGATGCAAATGTTGTTGGGGTTGGCCCTGCGACCTGTGCTGTACGAAAGGAGAATGTTTTGGGGCTTTAGGTCACGGTGAATGATGCCTTTACTCCTTAAAACACTCATGGCTCCCGCCAACTGCTGCAGTAACATGCGGATCGTGTCCTCGCTCAGAGAGCCTTTAGCTATGAAGAAAAAGTTATATAGTTTAATAATTACCTAACTAATAGTTATATATATATATCTTTGAATTGTGGGATATTACATAATTGTTTACAAAGAGGTAGCAATCCATCAAAAACAAAATGTCCAGCTACCATCCACCTCCAAAAGTCCATGCCCCCCCTTCTCCCAGTGTACCTCTTTCCTTCCACTCAAAACATGCTGGTTTCATGTAGTCTTATTTTTAGCCCTCATGTTTTTCCACTGCAGGAGAGGGCAGATAACAGACTGGCAGGTGAATGAGGTCAGGCTCTGGTTTGAGTTTCAGCAGGGGATCTTGGTGTTGTGCCAGTGAGTCTGTGGTAAGAGGTGAGCGGGTGAAGGCAAACACGGCCCCTGATGAGGCTGGCATGAATCTAAAGCTGAACAACGCTACATGCCTGATGGCTTGAAAAAGAGTGGCCAATGCAAACATGTTAAATATAGCCACGCTGAAAAGTTTATGGTTAGATGAAGATGTATTGGAACCCCGAAGTGTGTGTGTGTCTGGGTGAGACCACTTCCAAAGAGGCTCTATTTGTGGCAGCACATGTGTGAAACTAAGCTATTCTCAGAGGTCCTGAATTATCTTTCTGAGGAAAGATCAGGAGAGTTGTTTGTTTGTGAATATATCTGCAGTTTCAAGAGCAAGTCCAAAGCAAGTTTAAAGCTTCAACCTTCGAGAAACGGACTTTGGTCTTAAAGGAATAGTTCACCCAAAAATGTTGAAAACATTTGTCAAATTTTGCCACCCAACATTTTTTTGTCATCACTTACTCACGTTCAAGTTGTTCCCGTATGAGTTCTGTTGAACACAAATATAATCAGGGTTTGAAATTAACACCCGCCAACCCGATAAATGCGGGAAAAGATCAACTGTGGCGGGTAACGCTGTCAAATCACTAGCCAATTCGGCGCCTACATTCAGTCTATATACAGTATATACATGCAAATATTTCTTAAGTACACATGCATGTGTGGGTATTTATGTATTAAAAATAATTATACACAGTACACACACATATATTATGTAAACACAAACTTTTATTTTGGATGCGATTAAGCGTGATTAATCGTTTGACAGCCCTAATATATATATATATACATATATATAAGAATTTTGGTAATCAAACAGTTGACGGTAGCCATTGACTTCCATAGTAGAAAAAATACTATGGAAGTCAAGGGCCACAGGCAACTGTCTGTTAACTTTTGTGTTCAACAGAAGAAAAACTTTTTGGATTTGTTTTGGAACAACATGGGGGAGAGTAAATTATGACAATTTTTTTGGGTAAACTATCCCTTTTAAGTCCTGTCAATAATCAGCCTTTATTAAACAAACCTTCACTTAGAAAGAATTAGAGAAATGAAGATACATCGTCCTTTTGTGAATAAACAAGTTGATGATGAAGAAACAATGCAAACAATTCCAATAGATCATCCCAATAGCTGAATTTAAGAGATATAGAACATTTAGATTAGCAAAAAGGGGATAGGGATAGGAATGCTCATTTCCAATATACATTTTACATTACCTTTTCCATAATCTAACTCTCACTTTAAGTTAATAACTGTAAAAACACTAATAATTTAGTAACAATGTTACTAATGTAATCTTTTTACTAATGTAATCTTCAGCAAATCTCAAATTGAATATCTATTTTTCAATTATTAGTATTGGGAAGTATTGATGCATCTGAATTTGTCATTTTCAGAATACAGTAGACATAATACACATACTAGTGAAAGACATATGACATATTGAAATAAGGTTAGTGTACTTACAGTGTAAATACTCTGCTAGGTCTCCTCCATTGCAGTACTGTAAGAGGAGACAGTCAAACACTGTAACTGTACAGTTAACACAAAACAAACTCTCATCGGAAGAGATTGTAATCACAATAACACCAGGGCTTCAAATGGCTATATACTGACAATAATAACACAGAAGTGTGAATTAAGCTTTGCATAAAGGAGATCCTGCAAGGGACGGTGAAATTTGACCTCTGATTTTCCTCTACTTCCCACGAAGTCTATTTTGAGGTTTATGTGAGAGGTGCAGCATGCCATCTGGACTCACCTCCATGACAAGATAGACGCATCCCGATATCTCCTGCAGACAGAGACATGTGGCACACAGTTAAATATTTACAATATAAAGGAAACACCTAGCAACATGCCATATGACAGCCATGGCAGGAACTCTACATTGTCTAGATCAGGACGGGCCTCTGGCTGGACACACAATAGATGCCAGTGAGTCATCATACAAAGCCTACCCTTACCTAAGCCTTCTATCAAGAGTGTGTTATTATAGCATGTGCTTGCAAGCAATACAAATCACAATAAGTGTCTGCAGGACAGGTTTTATTTGATTAACACCTTCAGGTACCTTGGGCTGTGAGAATTTGTTCCTTTTGCATTTGAGTTTAAAATAGCGATCTTTTATTTTGTGAAAACTTCAATTGTTGCTTAAGGCAGGACAAATGTAGCACACAAAAGTGATGAAATAGCTTTAGTTTATCTCTAAAGCTGAGTGCACAATTGAAGCTAAAAAAAGCCCCCCTTCTTATCAGATATATTTCATTTCTTAAATCCAAAAAATAATTAATAATAATAATTACTGAAAAGAATGACTAATTAAAAAATGGTATAAGTATAAATAAAAATGATACAAGTAATATGATTTATAATAATATAAAATAATTACTTATTGATTCACAATTAATAATGCTGTTATTATTGTTGAATAATATTTTTGAGTATTATAATTGTGTGGACTTCCTAATGTGTATATTTGATGATAATATATGTTTGAGCACATTTCGTTGGTTAATGATGTCATGCACGTGGTGGAGTAATAACTTTTAATGAATCTGTTTGAGATCGAATTAATGCTAGATGTTTGCTATAAATTACGGACATGGCATCTGAGAATTTTTTCTAATTATTTTCAGTTATTTTGCTTTATTTCAAGATTCAATCATAGGCTCGTTCTTACGTACTAGCACGTCTTCACATGCGCACTCTTCAAAAATGGTGCTTTCAATCTCTTGACAAACTAAACGACATAAATGACATTTGTACGTATTCCAAATAAAAGATACAGATTGTACTGAATGTCAGCTTGCTTATTTTGCTCAAGATAAGGATTTATTAAGTCCACATGTCATGCAAACAAGAAACTAGGCTTCTAACCACAGGTCGACAGCTGTCGTTCCAACCACACAACTTTGCGATGCTGTTTGCGAATGTTCGTTAGAACTACGGTTTCGGGAAACACAGACACGTTGAACTACCGAACTTGCGTCCATAGTTGGCTAGCGATACTTTTGGAAAACACACCCCTGATCTGTATGCCAGACGTTTCAATTTCATACTAAAGAACAGAACAGATTATGTTTTTATGCTAATCAGTGCACAAAACAAATGCACATTGAGTGCAACATCATGCTCTTCACTGGCCAAATCATGAACTTTGAGAGCCTCTTAATGTACAGTAGTCACTAGGAGAAACCACCTTAAAAATGCCCTTTGACCCCTAGCGTGCATACTCCAACCCAGTATGGATTTTAGGTGGTCTGTTGCCCATTCATGCCAATGAAATTCAATGTAGAAATTATACTCCTGAAAGGATTAATGGAGCTGATCAACGTGTCCCACACAGGCCAAGTGCCATGGTGACCCATTTGAACGAGGTATGAAAATGGCCAACTTGTTGTGCAACAAGTCCTATTTGGCCAATTTCCATGCAGGCCCTGTGTGTTGCAGCAGTCGGGACAGAAGCAGGAGGTGTCATTACCCACAGCTGACTGACATACACACCAGCGGCCGGCCGGCCAGCGTGACAGAGCACTGGGAGGAGCGTGTTTTAATAACATATTACATAGAACTTGTTTTATGAAAGACAACAAACCATTCTGACTTCAAAGTTGTGTAACAGCTAATTTTATAAGTGTGACACAATTACTGTGGATAAAGGCTTAACGTTAAGCTTCCTGTGTGTGTGCTTGTGCAGAATCCATGAGAAATGAAAGCAGGCCATCAGCTGTAATGCAAAGTAAACTAGGTAAAGCCCAAGGCTATAGACCACACACAGGGCAAAACACACTCAAATTATCTTCTCTAGACGCATTTACAAGGCCATAGAGAAGACTGTCAAAACATTATGATCCATCAGCATGAGCATACAATTCAAAGGTGTTTCTCAACAACAAAAGACTGAAACAACATAAGCTTAAAACAAATATCGTTAAACTCAAAGCTGTTCCACAGCATGTTTCCATGAGTGCGGGATGGGGTCGAGGGTTGGGTTTCACTGACTAAGCATAAGTGTAATTTTCTTGTGCTATTGTTCGGCGTTCATGCAGGGCAGCAGCCAGCCACCTGGTGCACATTGTGCTGTCAGGTGGATCCAATGCCTGGCGGCCGTCTGCTGAGCAGCTGATCAACCCAGCTGGACAAACCCATGAAAAATACTATAAATGCTGCCCAGATGGAGATTAGACTGATATTGGAGCCAGTCGAAGGTGGTGGTCCTATAATTGCAGGTTTGTTTAGTATCAAATGCTCCTGTGTCAGTCCTAGCAGTGCGTGAGGTGTAATGGAGTGAGCATTAATTATTTGTGTGCGTTCACTGTCAGGTCATTCTCAAAGGATAATGTGGTGAGAGGTTTGACTATGCAATCCAGTCCATTCAGCTGCAATTCGTTTAAAAAAGTTACCATCTAAAAGGAAAATCTGGGACTAGGTGTCTAGTGTAGTGGAGTGCACTAAATGTACAAAAATTTGCATAAAATACAACTTTAATTGTACCTTAATTTACAACAGGGATTTCTATTTTTTGTGTATGTCAAAAAAATTGACCTATAAAATATTTTCAAATATTTTTTACTTTTAAATAGGTTTTCATCAGTTCAGTAACCCCTGCAGTTCCCTCACAAATCCAATGGGAAACCCCAATTTAGAATAGAATATAACACTACAAACAATTTGAAGTAAACCTGTTATACTTGCTGAAGGGCACAATACCGCAAGATCGAAGGTGTAACCCACTGTGTTAAGTTTCTTAAGCTCTACACCTGAGACAACCACCTGCCATCAGATAAGCTCGACTGCCTGGAGTCCAGTCCAGTCCTCTATTCATGATAAGGGAATCTTACTTCAGACAACGTCTGTTCTGTATGCAAATGATAGAGACAGTTGGTTAAAAGGGTGAGCTGGGCTGGCAGGTGCTGGCTAATGCGTGCACAGGTGTTAGGTGTATACTTCAATAGACATAGACATCTGTCATGGCTGCCATTGTTTCGTGAGCCATTCGCCTGTTTATTTTTAGTAGCCTAGCTACTTCTGCCACAAGAGGTATGAGATTTAGTTGGAGGGTTTATCAATTTTCTCTGCCCACCTTGATATCACAGAGAGATCAGATAATGGTTTCACTACTGATGCAAGATACTGCAACATGAAATCATTACTCATGGTGAGTCATATATACATCTATTCGCCATGGTTGACTGGCTAAAGCTGCTAATAAACAGTGTGTGACATCATCAGTGGGCGGGGTTTAACCAATCAGATGAAGGGAACTGCACCCATAATGTCAACACCAAGCCATGCGATATTCGAGTTATAAATATCCTCACTAGTAACATGAAAAAAAACCCCTCTGTTTTATTAGATTAGAAACCACTTAAAATAACACAGTAGGCTTAGACATTTACCCAGGATAACTAAATTCCCACGAGTTATAGCAGATAGTAAGCAGATACATACCTGAAAGTCCAGTAAACTGACAATATTCTCATGTTTCAGCTCCTGGGGAAAACACACACGGGATTCACTACATTAGTCAGCAGCTCATGTAACTGCTATAAAGAGGTGATGATATTTGCTAAACCATTGTTTATATCAATAGCTAAACGTCACTAAGTTAGCTAATGTAACGTTAGAAGTCTTTAAAATAGCGAACAGGTCACAGATTTTCGACATGTTTAACAATATCTGTGAGAATATATAAACTGGCACATGTTAAAAGTAGGAAGCAATCATGTGCGTACACAAACAAACGCTCCCAACATCTAACTAGGAAAACTCACCTTTAATATCTTGATTTCTTTTCCTAAGAGCGACTGTGATTTGGCGAGATTTTTCTTGTTAATGCATTTCACCGCGACCTCAAAATTAGGTTTCTATGGATAAAGAGATCGTTTTACTTTATGGCAGTCGTGTAGAATGATTATTTGCATATTCTGTTACGAACATTAGGAAATGTACAACTTACCTGTTTATGTCTTCCTCTGAACACCACAGCAAAAGCGCCGTGTCCTATCAAATCTTTCCTGTTGAACTCGTATTTTCCAACGCTTTCCATCGCTTGTCTAAAGTTGAAAGCAGCTCAGTAAATCCACGGGTGAGTTGAGGGTGTCAGGGATCTGTCTGTGTGCCGTGGATCCCTACATTACAGGAGAACTGGACCCGTATATCGCTTCCCATCAGCTGCTTCGCACCCAAACAATCTGACACTTCGGTCATGATCGGTATTCGCTACCTTCTTGTTAATACAACCAAAGTCACTGTCATCTTGATCATACTATTTTAAAACACTGTTTTTCATAAGTAAAGCTCACTAAATTGTGCTAAATTAGATTCGGAAACTGTCGGTCTTGACGCCTCGGCTGCACTGTTTTGTTTGGAAAGTGTTCTGCGTGCGCATTTCACAAAAAAAACTTGAACTGTGCGTGTCCATTACACGCATGCGCGCTATCAGTCTGACTTGTGGCTGCATCTGCGCATGCGTTTGTCAAAGAGCCGGGACAGAAATTTTAGAACAGCTGAGAGGTTGACTTCAGGTTGACTGCAAGTTTCTTGCAGTTATTTTTAATTCTGTATGTGGGAAAAATATATTATTAGTTATAATAATTAAACAGCAATTGATCATTATTATGAATATACACTGCATAGCCTACATTTATACCATCTATAGATCTGTCTGTCTACATACAGCACATTTTACATAACCCAACCTTATTTATTGTTAAATTTGCTATATTTTCTATCTGCCATTTACAAAGTTATACATTAATACCATCAACATCATTAATACATTATATATTAATACTATTAAATGTTATAATTAACATATAATTTTTTCTTCAAATTCACAAACAAACTCCAACTTATTTATGTTAAATGGCAGTACGTTACATAATGATAAAATATATTGTATGTCTGCCATTAGTTTTTCTCAGTCGCTTTGGTTCATTTCTCAGATCACAACTGAAATTCTCAAAACTACTTGTTCAACCGCCACCTCATCTATAGCCACTTGTGCACATCATAAAACAATTTATCATTCTTTTGAACAAATTGCAAATGCTTTGGCACATTCAAGCAATTGATTATAGCCTGCCCTACATTATCAATTGCTTCATGTCATGTTGATCAAAATGTATTAAATGTTCCCTGTTGAATAGTCTTCTTACCCCTCAATTACATAGTATAACTATACTGTTGCCGTTTGTGTTTTCAGTTTTTCTCAATCACTTTGGCACATTTTTCAATCTTAATATGCTCTAAACTCTAAGTGCTGTTTGCTGGAACATCACAACTCTATTGGATGCCTGCAAAATGTAACTCACCCAAAACATTTAATTCATGCATCAAAATCGTGTTATTGTGCCAGTAAATTGGCCATTGGCACCAAAATAATTTTCTTTTTTTGTCATGTAAACCACACTGGTCAAAATGTGTAGGTGTTTTTTTTTTCAACATAATATTCATTGTATACAAATGTAATGTTTTTTTTTCCTAATTTTTTGTTGACTAACTGATTATATTCTATACAAGATGATGTCAGTTTTATCTAGTTGAATGCTCTTGTGGATCACACTGAGCTTTTTAAACACAGATCCAAAAACTGACTGTGAAAAGTCAATACTGTATAACACAAAAAGAAAATGAACATTTGTATTTATACAGTATATGTATTTGTGCAGAAATATGTTCATTTTTTCACACTCTATTATGTCTTCTCTAACACATCATATCTTCCTATTGCTCTTCCATGACAAGAATATTCAGTTTACATGTAACATTTCTACAAAAATAAATGTACTGTATAAATACAAAAGTATTTATACAGTACTGATGTAGCTGCTGCTGTTCAGAGTTGTGATGTTCCTCCATGTTTAAAGGGTGATTGTGTTGTCAGCATAATATATATATATATATATATCAGGGATCTATGAGAGAGGACTCAAGCACAGAATGAGTTACACTGAATTATTAACAAACAGACAAGACACAATGAGGCAAGGGAAGAGGTGAACACAGTCCAAACAATGGGCAAGGAATCATGAACAATAACAGGCAAGCTGGGAGAGCTGCCGCTGTGACTAGCCCAACTTGACGATAGGCTGGTGACCAGAAATGGTAGGGTATCGCGAGACCGGAGGATAGTAGCGATGCCAGGCAAGAACTCAATGCACCACAGGATAAACACTCAGGTATCTCAGGCACTGCACCAGTCTTGCTGCTATAGGCAGGGAGAGTGACCAGCCAGGGAAGCTCAGCTTGCAGGACAGGACTGTATAAACAAGATACACAGCAAACACAAGACGAAACAACAACAGATGGCGGAAACTAATGCTTTGCAATAACTATATAAACTACTAAGTAGCAAACAAATAAAGAGAAAAACAGAGAACTAAAGCTAGGAATAAACTAAAGGAACCAGTAAAGGAAAAGGAAAAAGCAAACTTCTAAGGCAAAATAAAGGGAAAACTAAATTCTAAAGTTAACGAAGAACTCTAGAAAAAGCTGAGAAAGCTAAGGGGTAAAAAAACAAAACAATAAGGATACTCTGGAACAGGGGTGTATTCCAGAAAGCAAGGTTATCTTACCGTCAAACATACCCTGAACTCTCGGTTGATTGAACCACACCTTGCTTACTCGAGGTATCCTTGTTCCAAAAACGCGTCCAGAATAAGTTCATCCAACTCAGAGTATATGATGCGTTCAAGTCCTCCTGGGAAGTTCGTACTTACGAAGTGGGAAGTCGTGTTTACGACGGGAGGTGCGTTCATGTCACTTTCGTCGGAGTAAGATGGCAGTGTGCTTTCTCTTAATTTCTCATAAGCTGCTTTCTGGAATACCCCCTGAATAATAATTAAAAAATAATAATAATTTTACTCAAACACATACCTATAAATATTAAACCCAAAGAAACTGATCATTTTCTATACATTTATATTATACCTTTTTTTTTTTGTAAATGTGTCCTTAATTGACTTATTGCGGAGGTGAATTTTTTATTTCACTAATGTAAATGTAAGGGAAATGTAAAGGACAAGATCAACCAATGATCAACCAGTTATCTAAAATAGCTCAGAGGTGCATGTCATGAAGCTTCATTTGGCAAGCGTATACGGACAGAGCACAACACAGAGTTACAAATTCTGACAATGGAAGAACAACAAGGAAACAAGCAGGGTCAACAGTCTTGAAGAAGAAGATCGAGGAAGGATGCGTAGTGGAAGGGTACGGAGGAAAAAGAGTGGAAGAGGTAGAAGAGGCCAAGATTGTAGAGATGTTTCTGATGAAATAAGGGCCACTATTGTGGACCATGTTCTCAATCATGACCTTATGGGCCGAGGCGGATCGAAAGGTTCAGCCGAATGTTCGGAGAACATCCGTGTCCTCAATCATTCAAACGTTTGTACGGGTATGTAATCAGACAATGTTCACTATACTGTAACATTGTATAGCCTACTTACTGTAATGCTACATTGAACAATTTAATGACAGACCAACAGTAAAAGTGTAACTGAATCCTGTCCAGTCTCTTGCAATCAATATCCCACATAGAGTAATGTATAAATAAGTACTGTTGAAATGTATATATGCCATATAAAGTGCAGTATTGTGCATTTTCAATCATTGTCATCAAATCATAGCCATAGTTTAGGCTACATCTGAAAATACTGAGAGGGTCTGTTATATTGACAACATGACTATTTTGACTAACTTGTTTGTGAACAGTGACACAAGGACTTGTCATTCTGATGCCACTAGATATGTTCATTGACATAATTACTTTTGAGTTTTGAGAGATGTAGCCTACTAAGGATTTTGAGAAAGTTACATGCTTTTTGCAAGTAATCCATTGTGTGGTGCTGTTTGAATGGATTGTTTTGAGAAATGCACTTACTGGTTTGCAAATCTTAAGGATGATAAGATGATTCTATAAATGTACCAAAACGACTAAGAAAGTTACACATTAACACCACAGAGCATGATAAAGTCATAAGATTATATAACTTTAACATTATCACGCTGCCCTCTAAGTGATACTAGATAATTAATATAATAACAAAAAGCATGGCTGTTATGAAGCGCGAGTCAAGATCATATGCCGTTTTCTTCTTTCAGATTTAGACATAACAATATTGCCATCGTGTGGTGAAATTACATTATTGCAACGCTCAAACTATTGATAGATGGAACATGTAGGCTATGAAAGATGAATGATTTATGAAAAAAAGTATTAGGCTATGTAAAATGTAAAGCCTCTTTAACGGGGGCAGTACTAATTACAAAATGACAGGTCAGACAGTTAGACATTTTGTTTTTGCTCTACCTGATAGGCTTTGACTGGAAATTGAGCATTTTTTCCCCTTTAACCGTAAATGTAGTCCATAAGTTGTTCATTAAAAAGAGGCAGAATTCCCAAAGATCCACTTGAGGAACCGTTTCCATGCTGTATTTCACTATTGGTTATAGCTGCTGGTCATTGTCTGCGTTTTTGGATGTCGTACTGGTTTGCATCATATTCATTGTCCTGAATGAATAAGAGCATTATCTGAGCACTCTTCTGGGTTATTATATCATTCATAATATTAAATTGAACGTTTGGCATATAAACACATCCACCCCAAACCTAATGATATATGATATTGGAAGTTTTCTAATTCGTATTCTGCTCCCTTTCCGCACATAAAACACGTATAGCTGATAAGCAGAACTCCTTTAAACTTACATTTGAAAAAGCCGCCTGGGACCTTCATCAGTCATTTGCAATGAACGTAGTCAATGAATCTGCTTTGTATCTCAACTCAACTGTACTCCACCCAGTCACGCTGTAATCTGCCAAATCTATGAGCCATCGAGCGTGTAAAAGGTTTTAAATGTGTGAGGAGGGGTATCATTACTCTGACATGAGCCATGATGATGACACTTCCTGCAGGACAAACGTCATTCTCTCCAATCCCGTCTTGGCAAAACGCAATAAAACGGTTCTTTCAAGCATTAAAATTAAAAATAAATAATTCAAATAAAACGTATGAAAATGTAACGGAAGGGGGCGCTCTCCACATCACAACACAGTGAGGTGAGGAAGAAGCGGAAACAAGCAATGTTGCTTATCCGGGAGCCTAGCTCTCATGTTGCTAGGAAACCGTTGTTGTGTAGTAGCAACAGCAGCATGTGAAGCAACCGGGAAGCAACAAGTCACTTTATTTTCATTTTAGGTGGTGATAACGCGTTCGCAAATAATGCCGCCAAAGAAAAAATCTTCCAACAAGTCCCCAAAGGGCAGAACTCCAACAGTAGTGGATGGCTTGTCCACAGAGGAGATGTCCAAAGAGCAGTTGGAGG